CATATATCGACATATTATATCTTATTATATAAATAAATATTTATATAATAAAATATATATAAATGATATATTTTAATAAAATTATAACAAAACTACCAAATGCTTTTAAAAATGCAAAATTGGATAATTATTTCGATTCTTACCTGTTCAAGTAATGTAGGAGGTGCATCATAAAGATGTTCCATGAGATATTCTAACAAAAGTAATAAACGCGATAAATGTAATAATTGATAATCTTTCATTGGCGTCTTAACAGCTTCGCTACAACGAACTGCACCACTGCCAGTTAGAAGTAATACCGACTTTTTTTGCATTAAATTAAGACAATGAAATAAAAATAAAACTAATTGCGCATGTTCGACGTTTAAATCTAGAAAAATTAATTAAATTATTATTTACATTCACAATTATCGAGTAATATATTTTCAAGTAATAAAATATATTCTTAAACAAACCTTCATTTTCAGCTTCAAATGTTGTTGGTGGATTACATACATTTTCAACCAAAGTCGTTACTAATCTATGCCATATACTTATACAAGCAGCTTCTTTCTCTGCTTGAGGTTTTAATAACAGTACCTATAAATTAACACATTCATAAGAATTTATAATATATAATTTCTAATAGCATTAAATTAATTCAATATTAAAGTTAAAAACCTGTGCTAAAACACTGAGTGTTCTAGGATACACTTGTAAAGGCCAAGTGGAAGTTGTACTGGTTTCAATAGACCAAGGATTTACACTAAGATGTTGAAGCAAAGTATTTTGTAAACTTTCGCTTAATGTATTATGTGCAAGTAAATTATGGGTATAACAACTTAAAGCTTGTGAAAACTCAGAATATAATGCACCTAAAGTTGCACCATAAAATACTGAAATAGTTCCTATAAAAGATAAAACATATTAAATAATGACATATATTAAAAATATTGATGAAATATTTTTAAATTATATAATTGCTAACCTGTTTCGGTTCTAGCAGTTTCATGATCCAAATCTCTTATTATTGCTGCTAATATAACCATCTGTTGCTCTACTAATCCATTGACAACATATTCACGGACATACGCACTTCTACTACCAATTAAGTGTTGGTTCATAAATTGGAAGATTTTAGTTGCCAATGAAATATACTGTAATAATGTTAAAATACTGTTTACACACTTAACTCATATACACATGCTTTGTTATAATATATGAAAAACAAACTTTTTGTAAATTCACATAATAAGAAAAATTATTAATAACATACACCATGTGGTTCTCGATTATCTGGAACAATGATAATTGCAGTGTGTTCGGCACTTGCTTCATTGCTTGGTTCTTTAGTGGCATTTGCAGGTGGCCCATCAGAAGGAGCCAGGGTTTCTTCAAACCACAGACCCAAAATAGGTTCGCTGTCCTCCTCTACCGACATAACAGTTTGTTCTATATCATGAAGATATACCAGGAAGTTAGTAACAGCAACAAAGTATAGAAACAGAAATACAACTTTGAAACTGAATAAAATGATACAATAGCTACCATTTCATTAATAAAGATATATGAAGCTTTATAAAATACTTTTCTTAAGATATATTTAAATTATTAGATAATTATCTCTCTATTTTGTTACATAATTTAAATATATAATATAATTCAATGTAATTTACACAAAAGAAAAAGGTTTTTATATATATACACATAATAGATAGTAAATAAAATTGTAAATATAAAATTTATGTTATAATAAATTAACATTTAGTACAAATATATAAATGATTTATGCAGTTACCTTCATCCGTTGAATTCTCTGAACAGCTTAAAAGATCTTCATAATATGTGGTAGAATCAGATTGACTTAAAGTGTCACCTTCCAGAGGATGCTTCTGTATTCTTTTTAATGTACAAGCCTATGAATTGAAATACATTGTGAATTTGTCTAAAATCATTCGTAGACTTTTATCATATCTATAACTTTAAGACAGTATCAATATATTACCTTTCTGTAACTAATAGTTGCTAAATAAAATAATAAGTGATTAAGAGGTACAGCTTGTAGGAATGTAACTGCTCTTTGAAGTGCAGTAGCAGTAGATAAGATATCTAATGGTGCTGCCTCAGGAGTAGAAGAATCTGTATTGGCTTCTATAGATACATCTTCAAGGAGAGCACTCATCAAAGTTAATGCATGTGATGCCAATGCTACCGACAATACTCCAAATCCTTGTTGACTGGAAATTTAGATATTTATATTTTCATTATTCCATTAAAAGTATTTTTTTTATCAAAATAATAAACAATATCTATAAAAGCAATAAATATGTATTACACTTTCATCAAGTTTACACGACCAGTTCCATCTCTCGCTTTACTTGGCGATTTTCCTTTTTCATCTTTCACTTTATCTGCTGCGCTAAAACTGCTTACTGACAATTGAGCTTGCAAACCAGCAACCAATAACCAAACTCCAATCAATAGATGATTTTGAAGAATCTATTAATTAAAATGAAAATTATGATACATATTATAAAATATTATCGAGTATTATAAAGACAATCAACTCACATGTCCACCAGCACGTGTACTATTTTTTATTATATTTGAAACTAATCCAAATATCTCTAAACTTTTCTCCACAACAGTTATGGCTAATGCATCATATTCTTCCTGAATTCTACCTGCATCCTCTGCATTTTTCGCGCCTTGGCTAGCTTGAGTATTTCCAGAAGTATTTGTACTGCATTTAGGAGACACAGCATTTGTAATTCCAACGATACTTGATGCAGCTGCATTAGTAATCGAGCAGTACAAGCAAGACATAGCTAGTGTTGATAATTTTTCTAATTTCACATGTGTCAATGGTTCAAACACAGGTAATGATAATACACTATGCACAATGTTTATGTCATTAACTACTAAATGCAAGCTGTGTCGTATTATATGAGCATCAGTAGCATTTGCAGGTAAACTGAAACTTTTTTTATTTAAATATGTTTGATATTTGCGAGCATATCTCGATACATGGGTAAGATTAGCACACATATCCAATAATATATCACCTGCACCCATACTTTGAAGAGTGCCTATATTATTTGCTATGAACATCATCTGTAATTAAAAAAAAAAAAAACATCAAATACACAATTAACAACTATGATATACTTGTGTTTAATATCAAATAATACAAAGATAAGAAATGATAAAAATTAACCTTTGTATCTGTATGAATCTCGTTGTTTGCAGTATCAGTTGAGGTTTTATTAGTACCTTCAGCAAAATTTTCAGTAATAAAAGATACAGGTTGTGCAAAATCTTGTAATGGCATTGTTAATTGTTCAAGAATACTGCTGGATAAATCGCTATGCGTACGTTTTGTCTCCTTAACACATTGTGGAGAAGTATCTTTCTCTTTTCCAGATTGTGGGACCTTAACTTGTGAAGGTACTTTTGCATTCTGTATCATTGTAATCAATGCTGTTTCTTCCGTTGAAGAAAGTAAGGTTTGCCCAGTACATAATGCACGTATCGGAAGAAGTAACTGTTTAGTAGTTACAACAGTTGATGCATTAGTGTCTCCAGAATGAGTCTGTTGTTGTCGTAAAACACGGACAAGATACTGAAGTAGGATCTTGCATGCTTGACATACTGTAGGTATTTGACTTTTAACATCTGCAGGGACATAAGAATATCAAATTTTATATTTATATATAAATATATATTATATATAAGAAATAATGTGGTATTTTATATATGCAGAGTATTCCATAACTTTTATGAAACAAGATCAAATAAGGTTTATATGAACTTTTTCATTGTATTCATATACAGAATCCATCACTAAAGCAATTCCTTAAAACTACTCTGTATATACATTTATTTTATATTTAGTACTGCACTAAACACGATAAGAAGAAAATAATTATAAATATTCAAACCATAAATTGAAATATGAAAGTATACAAGTTATACAACTTAAATATAGTAAAAAATATTATTTAATGATAAAATCTTCATAAAAAAGAAAAGTTATATTACAAATGACTAATGATTTTTTTCATTTTTTTATAAATTTTATACTTTCAAAAACAACTTTAGTTTCACGTAAACGATTGGTTTATAAACGTTATGTAGGATATACTTTTTGAGAAAAATTTGAAATACTTACAGGAATTAGCAAAATTACTAATGTACTCTGCAGAAAGTGCAGCGACAGACGTGTAGAATGTTTCATATTGTTCTTCGTGTTCGACAAATTTGTTCTCACTGTGAAACGCAAAAAAATCATATCAATCAATAAAAAAATACTTGTATTTATCTTTATCACGCTGAACATCCATTTCTATTCTGTCACCTCGAGTTAACTACTTGTAAAATTATAAGACATCATATCAAGAAAGTATGTTATTTCGATCAACCATACTTACTTTTTTACGATATTCTTTATAAGTTCTATAATGCTATTTTTATTTAAGGAACCAGATGATGCGACTAGTATTGGTTTTATAGCCGAGAACCACTCGTCATTACCACCACTTTTCGCCGCCATTTTAAAGACTGATTCAATAGCTGTCGTAAGCCGAACGAAATCAGAATAGAATATGAACAGGGTTACCAACCTAAAAAATAAAATTTTCACATTATTACAAACTGTCCTAATGCTAATGTGTGCTCTAAACGATTGACTACGTAAAATATATGATCAATTGATTTTATTACAATATGCAATAAAATATTATTTGGTCATTTTGATTTTTGATTTCACAATTAAAAATCGTCTATTATTGTCATACTATATGACATAATCATAAAGGTCACTTATATTTATTGAATGTTGCACCACCTGTGCTAATATTTAAATAGTCATAAAAAAAAAATGGACGATAATACGCATTACATTGTATTTTTATAAACTTATAAGCATATGTAACGAAAAATTGAAAAGTTAAAGAGAAACTTTTTTATTTTCATTTAATATATATACTATCTTAATACTGAACAATTATAAAAATATATTTGAGTAAAAATGATTGTCATTTGTTAATTTTCGGCTAGAAATTTAAACATTCGAACTAAAGCCGCGTTATTACACAAAATGGCGCTAAATGGATAGTCATCTGAACAATCACTATCGAAGTATCTTCGAGTGTCGCTACTGGTTGATTAATAAATGGTGGCATGATAATGTGTAATGTCGGATTTAGCCGATCTTATGTGTGTCACTTATAAAAATCTTTACTTTAATGATGATGCATTAATATTAATTAACAACGATATGTAAAAAAAATGAACTGTTTTCAAACAACATTACTAACTTGATGTTTTTAATATAAAAGTTTTTTGAACATATAAATTGACTGTCTATGTGACGTTGACTTTGACGTTTACAAGTGTTATCTGTTAGTTCCGTGTAGTGTTTAGGTTAATACATCATGTTTGCGAGTTTGAAGAATAAAATACGTGAAGAAATTGGTAGCGATGTATCAACTGTAGTTCGAAACGCTGCAAATATCCGCAGTATAAGTTCTAGACATATTTCACAGGTATTCATACCCAAAATAATACTTACTAAGTATAAGATTTCTGTGTATTGTCCCACTTTTCTTATTAAATAAATTATTTTATTATAAAATATATAGAAAATTTATTTTTTTTTTTTTTATAGACAGGATCTACTAGTAGTATTAGTGAGTCTCAAACTTCATTGGATGGATCTCGTGAAGAACATGTAGCTTCTTCTTCGTCGCCAATATCAATGAAACAAGAAAATAATTTTGCTCTGAAACTTAATGATAGTATACACTTAAAAGATATTAAAAATCTTGAAAATCAAGAGGAAGAATGGCAAAAATTGATAACCAAAAAGGAAATGGAGTTACAAAAGAAAATAGATAAAATCAATGAAGAATGGAAGATTAAGTTTACCGAAAAAGAAAAAGAATGGAAGAAAGTAGCAGAGAAGCAAGAAAAAGAAAAAATCAAATTAGAAACGGAATTACAAACTACAGAAAGTTCAAAGAGATCATTAGAGTTGGCACTTAAAGATGCAGAAGGTTAATATTTAATAAAAATATAAATCTAGTTTTGTAGAAAAGATTATGTAATATATAAATATTCATTTTAAATAACTATTAAAGAAACTAAACTTTATTTATATATTATTTAAAATGTCTTTTAGAATATAAAAAAAAATTATATAACTTTCAAGAAGATGCAGAACAACTAGAAAGTTTTCAAACGCAAGAAATGGCTAAGATCAAACATCTTGTGAGTATTATACTACACAAATTTATTTTTTATTATTTTTTTATTTAATTGTAAACACAATAAAAAATATAGTAATTATTTAACAATTGATATTACTTCAGCTTCTATCAAAAGAACAAGAAGTGGAAGAAAAATCACAGCATTTAAAAGTTGCCTTAGCAGAAATTGAAAGCCTAAAATCTGAAGTTTCCCGTCTTAGACGATACGAAGATGAATTAAATAATGTACAGGTGAGTACATGTTCTACTATTTTTTAAGTAAAGAATATTTTAAAATATAAGATATTAATTTTTGTATACTATATTTCTTAATGTGTGTTTTCGTACTGATTTCGTACTGGTTTTTCTCACATACAATTAGAACAATGCATATAATAGAAAAAACATATTTCATAAAAATATACTAATTGTATATTTATTTTATTAATAAATACATAATTAAAGGAAAAGAGTTGTTTATGAATTAAGTGATTTAAAAGTAATATACATATTAAAATTTATATAGACTATTCATGTATATTTTTCTATATATAATAAGGCAAGAAAGTTTTTGTTTATATCATTAAATATACTAGCAATGTATTTAGTGATGATATATCCATACATATATATAGATTGTAATTTGATGAAATGTTTTTATCTTATAAAAACGCTTTTTTTTTTTTTTTTTTTTTTTCATCAAAATATAAAACAATTATTATTGTTTACCAGCATGTTTTTTTTTTTTCATTTTTTTATATTATTTCAAATTATCTTTTTTAAGTGTTTACATTTTAATAAATTTTATATTGCTGCTTGTTTGCCATATTTTGCTATTCTTCACACTCTGCACATTTATTATACTATTATATTTCCATTTATATTTTATATCTACTTTTTTTATATAAAATATGTTGTATTATATATACTTATTTAAGATTCATGTTAATTAATTATGAATTGCATTTATTTAGAGAACATTTCATATGTTCCGTAATCATTCTATTTCCATCAGAGGGTTGACCTCTTTGTTTGAAAATGTATTTTGATGATATATGTGAATGTGTTTTATACTTTAAAAATATTTGTTGTTTTTATTTTGAATTGTGATATATCAAGAACATTGTGATAGCAATAATTTTGTGAAAACAACATATGCATGAAGATTGGAAAATATCTTAATAAATGAAAAAATGGGAGATCAGGGTAGGCAGTAATTGCTGCTAATTTGCTGCCGCTACTGCTGACACTAGAGGTACGTTTTCATAGCCTTGCTGCTGTACTGCTCTATAGCAATATTGCAAATTTTATTCCTTATTAACCTAACTTTAATCTATGTATCTGTATTTAACACACAATTTTATATGAATATATATATATATCTGATTACAAATCTACTGTACAATTATATAATGCTTTAATTTTCAAATACGTATCTTTGGTAATGCGGTATTTTATTGGAATTTCTTCTCATTGTAATATAAAGATCAATTTGTGAAATTAAATATAATTAATGTATTGTTACTAAATAGCCTATACACGAACTTTTTACTTTTTATCGCAAGCTTTTTGTATTCATGATTTATGTTCTTATTTTATGCACTTTTAATGTATTGTCATTCCAATACATTTTCTATGGGCTGGCAATAAACTGTTATGGGAATTAATATTTTTATCTTTGCCAAATATAATTATCATCTGCGCTTAGGTAAGATTTGTAAAAAAAAGCTTGAAAAAAAAAAAAGATTTATTTGTAAAATATAAAAAAAAAAATAGTGATTATATTTTTATTTTCAGGATGAAATGGAAACACTGCGCCATTCAACGCAACGTGAAAGAGCTCAGTTATCATGTCAACTAGCACAAACAGAAGAAGAAGTCCGTCATCTGAAGGATAAAGTTTTTGTATTGGAACAAAGAGGTGCTTCGGATACAAATGATCAAATGACAAACGATGAACGAGTAGCTGATCTTATGAGAGAGCGAACTCTTTTAGAGAGAAAATTAGAGGAAGCTCACCTTCATCTCTCTGATATAAAAACTAGTTGGTCTGGAAAAATTTCAAGTTTGGAAACACAAGTTGGAAGGCTCAGTAGGCAAGCAGGAGAAGAAGGACTAGAAAGAAGACGTGTAGAAGAAGAGAAAGAAAAATTGAAGCAGAGGATTAAACAACTAGAAGCTGAAATAGAGGTGAACAATGTTGTTATGGCGACGAAAGACGCCAAGCTTTTGCGCATGGCCGAGGACATCGACGAAATGGCCACGGAACTAAAAGAGCTCCGGGCCAGCGTCGATGACGAGGTTGAAGAATTTAAGCGGCAAATCGTGAGTTACCGCGATATGTAGTGATGCTGCATGATCAATCTAGTTTACTTCCAGAAAGACATTTTAGTATATAAACTGGAAGAAGAAAAGACTTTCATTACCTACACCTTACAGTAAACAGATCATCACACTTTTTGCTTTTGCATTTTTTTAATTATTCAAAAATTTTCATATTTCTCATTCTACACACACACAACACAGTTTTATTTTATTATTCCATAATATTAAAGACATCTATAACAAATATGTATAATAATTATTTTCAGATATATAAAATTGCTAATTACATCTACATAACATTACAACTTCTTTTTATATTTTGAATGCTTATGCAATTATACTATAAACACTAAAATTTTATTAATAGATTTTTTGTAAATTATGAATGATAAACACTTTTTATATTTATTATTGCATGTTAAAAATGCTTGATGCTTAACGCACATATACTTAGTATTTACTTCTTACACATATCTTCATTTACTAATAGATTTTTACTTTGTTCCTATTATAAGCATGTTAAAAACAAACTGGTTTTTCAAACAAGCATGTTGAAAATGAAAATTACCATAAATTACTATAAATTGTTTTTGAATCTAGATTGTATATATTGCACATATTTTCATTTGTTTGAGTTTATTTAAGGAATAGACGGAATGGAAATCTAATTACTAAAAAAGATTAATCATTTAGTTTAGAATTTAATAATTATAAAAATTCTGTGATTAAGCACGAGTTCAAATAAGTTGTTGTGTTATATTATAATATCTATCGAATAATTAATACAAAAGTCTCTTTTAAATTATTTACCTTCTGTTTGATTATCCACCTAAAGAAAAATATTTTCTTTTTTATATCCTTCTTTTCTTTCTTTGCATTATTTTAATCTATATGCCGATTAGATCGCTTAATAATTTAAAATATTTTTATGTATAATTATGTGTTATGTATAGTTTATTTGTGGAATAAAGAAAAAAAAAATAATATTACTCATGTATATTTTTTTGCTTTACTTTTAAACCCATTTCTGTATCAACCACAAATGAATGTCAATGTACACATACCAATTAAATATATATAGTAATTTTGTAAAAACATTATTTTTTATATGTATTTCAGGTATTGAATAATTACATTTTCATCCTCAATATTTTTGACGGATAAAAATTTTCAGATATAATTTTTTATACAACTTCACAATGCTAAAGAAATAAAATATTGACAAAAAATATGGATGAGAATGTAAGCTTTTTTTAATAAGTAAAAGAAGAAAAAAAATTAGGCAATATATGTTGCGCTTAGATTAATTTAGATATTTTTATTGTCTTGACATTATATTGATTTTTAATTTGCTTATGTTTCCAAAAAAAGAAAAAAAAAAAAGCTACATATTTTAAAAAAATATATTCATATAATAAGTAATACATTCTCTTGTGATACATTTCTAAAAATTTATAGTACTTCTTCTCATCTTAATTTTTATTTGCCTTTTTACTAGGAAACATCCTCAAATGAAACCAATCAATTGAAATCAGAATTAGAAGAGACTATGGCAAAGCTTTTAGCTGCTACATCAGAATTAACATATTTACGATCATCTAATGAAGATGTACAATCAAACATTTCTTCTTTACATGTAGAAATAAACCAGTTAAAGGAAAATCTAGAGATAGAGAAAACAACAACTGCAAAATTGCAAGAATGCATAGAGAAAGAAAGAAATGAAAAAGATACTGCGTTGCTAAGAAGTGCTCAATTTTCCCAAGATATTGAAATTATTAAGCAAGAACAGAGATTACAAGAAGTTGAAAACCACGAATTACAAAATAAAATAGAAAATTTAGAAGTTAGTTTTAAATCTCAAAATGAAGAATTAGAAAAGGTTATTACAATATTGAAAAAATCTAAACAAAGAATCACAGAATTAGAAGAGATAGAACGTAGTAAGGAGAAGATGGAAGGGAATGAAAAAATACTGAAGAGTAGCTTATTGGATTTAGAAGAACAATTAAATGAGAAAACAAAGGTAGTCTATGAAATTTATAAAAAAATGAAATATTCTTTTGTATATAAATGGAGAAATGAAAAATCTCTTTATATCTTTTCGATTTTGCAGACAATCAAAGTCTTACAACAACGTTTAACAGATATGAAAAAAACTCTACAACGGGAATTAAGAGTTCCTTCTGCATCATTGGATAATGATGCTGAACCGTCCACTGCTATTTTAAATCCAAGTTCATCCAAAACAGTCACTGCCAAACATGCCAATTTAAAAGATGATGTTAACTTTAAATATTTAAAACATGTTCTCATTAAATTTCTTACTAGTAGAGAATATGAGGTAAGTATTACTTTATAATCAAAATTAAACAGATATTTTAATAATAATTATACATTTTATATTTTAGGCTCTTCATTTAACAAAAGCAGTTGCTACGTTACTACATTTTTCGCCAGAAGAAGAACGTTTACTTCAACAAACATTGGAATGGAAAATGTCATGGTTTGGTACAAGACCTAATTTGGGTTTTGGACAAACTGCCAAAGCTATACCACCCAGCTGATAGCAATCGACATTCCACTTTTATATTATTTAAAAATATATGGTCTAACTCTAAATAAACACCAAGGATTATTTGAGAAATGACTTCAGAATTAAATAAATCTCTGAAAAATGAATATGAATCAACCCAGAAAATATAGTAGTTGTATAAACTTTGTAATATATTCACAGTTTATAATATATCTATAAATTGTTTGCAAAAGCATAGTGTACAAATGAATAAAGTAGTTAGGGATTATATACTATAAACCCTAATGTAAAATATTAATGTGTAATTACTTTGTTAATATGCATAAATATCAAAAAAAAAAAAATTCTGATAAGAAAATAAAGAAAAAAAGCTTGCATTAACCTCAGTCCGTTGTAACAATTATCTTTAAAGAGATATATTCATTCTCTGTCGATAAAGCAGAAAGATCTATTAAGAAAACGTTCTCTCTTCGCACTAATAATTTTACAAAAATATTTATTTAACGTATTTACAATTATTTAATAATCTAAGTTCTATAATTTGTATTTATTGACTCCTTATAATTAGATCTTTTTTATCTTACACAAATATAAAATAAATATTTTAGTTTAAGTTGTCAAATAAAATAATTATATTATTATAAATAAAATGAATAAAAAAATATATTCTATTGTATTTATTAAAAAGGATCTACACAATTGAATAGTATTTAAGCTATCGTGATTGTGCATTTTAGTTTCAATAATTTTGTCGTCATTGACAGAAATAAATAGAACAGGCACGCCAATTTACGCATCGAAATGCTTTTGCCACTATACGTTATAAATTTTCAAATTTACATATATCACAAATTCTTTATCTACATCGGAATGATGCATTCCTTTTCTTTCGGTAATATTAAAATTTTTAGATGTTTAAAATTACTCATTGATCGTTATACGATCAATACGAACGTAATAATAACGAATAATAAAAACAAATGGAATGATCTTCAAAACAATTGTTTATAAGCTTACAAAAAAAATTTTCAATTGGGAGAAAGTATTAAAATACGTTCTAATTCAATTAACGAATACTACGTAATCATGTAATCGTGTAAACGTATAAAGTTTTGGTTGCCTATCAATCGATATTTCTTTTTTCTTTTCTTTTCTTTTTTTTTTTTGGGGTTGTTTCTTTTTCTCTATAGAAATCTAGAAGAACATTAAAATTCTTTCATTCGTTCGACAATAATAAAATAAAATTCTTTATCTCTTTTTCTCTCTGTTGCATACGTAGAAAGCGATATGCGTTATTTAAAGACTCGAGCATATAAAAATAATATCGGCATTGGAAATTTTGGCTGAGAGCGATGATCGCGTGCACGAAAGTACGACAATAGCGACAATGGTATAGAATGTTTTTCGAGAAGTATGAGCGAGTATTACGCGATCCCAAAGAAAGAGAAAAAGAAAGAAAGAGAAAGAGAGAGAAGGAGAGAGAGAGAGAGAGAGAGAGAGAGAGAGAAAGAGAGAGAGAGAACCACGCCCTTGGCGAAGAGACTCGATGTCGGCGTCGGCGTCGGCGTCGACGTCGCATCTTCCCCTCTCGTTTGGCTCTAAGCCTGGCGCTATAACGCCGACGTCGACATCGACGGCGCCATCGGCAGCACTACCACCGCTCCATTGCCGGCTCCAACGTTTTACGACCGACTACTCCTCTCCCCGCCGCTTATACCCCATCCACCCCCACTGTCTACATTCACACTGGGAGATCGTAGCCACCCCGATGGCTCTCAATTCCTTGTTAGAGTAATACAACTTACCGTCAACGGTTGTCGCGTCGCTCTGTGTCAGTCTGTCATCGACCTCGCACTCGGAAACGTGATCGCCGTCGTTTATCCTCGCGCTTTTCGCTGCTCTCTTTCCTATCATATTAATTCTCATCCTCGTTGTCCTTGGATTTATAATCTTATTTTTCCCTCCTCATTCTTTTTTTTTACATTTATTTCTCCTTTATCCATCGCGTATTTTTTAAGGAGATTCTCTCTATTGCGAATAACAATCACCCGAAAAATACGCTAGATAATTTGGTTGAATAATCTATATCTTGAAAATTCTCAAGTGACAACAATTATTAAAATTTGCCTGTCAAATCGAAAATCGTAATCGCGAATCGAACATAAAATTATAAGTGAAAAGTACGTCTTCATTTTTGGATATTACCCTCTTTTTCGTATACATACATACTTTTTCTACGAACTTATCCACGCTTCTCTCTCTCTCTCTCTCTCTCTCTTTCTTTCTCTCTCTCTCTCTCTCTCTCTCTCAAACATGATATATTAATATTCGGAGTTTATATTAACGCCCACCGTCATCTCTCGTCATCGACCGTTCGCGAATAAGAGTGAAATCGTTCAGAAAATTGAAATTAATTCCTCTTTATTCTCTTCCTATCCTTTATCCTCTATCAAGATATATCAAATGTTATCGTGTTTTTATATAAGACTACATTTTGGATAAAAAGAACGAAGAATAATTTCTCTTGTCGGCTGAGAAGAAGACACAACACGCGGGTAATATGTCCGCATTTGGCGCCGGTTGAATCTTCGATATATCAACGAGAATCACGGTTATGGTATGTCGATTTTCAACGACATTATCGTTTGTCTTCCACTATCGATCGATGATGATCCTTCTCCTATCGAGATTTTTATTATTCAACATATACGCATAAAGAGCCATTGCAATGACATTGTACAAATGGTATATATAGGCACGTCATATATACATACATGTGATATGTATGTATATCATTATCATTAATTGTTTTTTTATCTTTTTTTTTTTATAATTAAAATATTCTTTAAGAATTATCAATCGGTAAAGGATTACATATATTTATTGAATAAATATATATATATATATATATATATATATATATATATATATATATATATATATACCAAAAAAAAAGAAAATCATTTTTTATATAAAACTAATGAATAACGACGGTGCTCTGGTCGAAACAGAGTTTCGATAGAGATGGCATGAGTTTATTTTTATATTTATATTCTTAGCGGAAGACGCTTAACCTTCGGTATGGAATATCACTGTGTAGAGCAATGAATTGAATAAAAAATATCGATCGAACTTAATATCGCCGAGAAAAACGATAAATCATTTTTATAAAAAAAATCCGTTTTAAAATCAGATCAAAGTTGTAATTATTACAATTATTATTTTTATAAAATCATTACAGAATTGCAATAAATTGTTTACTTTTTTACTTTTCAAGTAAAAAAACAAGAAAAAAAAGAATGTGCATTTATTTAATGCTCGATTATATGTATATATATATATATATATGTATATATATATATACATATATATATATATATTATATAACATATATATATGTTCAAGTTTATTGTTTATATTGATTTAATTTTTTATACGCGAATAAATGTAGCAAAATTATAAATTTAACTGTATCGAATGATGTGATCATATAAAGTAACTATTGTATTTGAAAAATAAATTTAAAATAAAAAAAAGATAAAACAATAGAATAAGAAGAAATTTTTTCTCTATCTAACTATTTCTAATATCAAGGTTAATAATTCATTTTCGCGCCTTTCTATGAAACCTATCGTTGAAATGAGGGAGCCACTACCGGATAGTCATCTATTCGAATTCATTTGTATTTGTATATGCATATATCAAATGATACATGTTATGTCATGCATAAAGTAATTTTTAAATCCAAATTTTTCTTTCTGTCTTATTTTAAGAAATTAATTAATAAAAATAGATCTTCAATAATTTATATTATAATGTTTAATAATAGTACTTTATCATTGGAATGTAAAAAATGTGTATGTTGAATAATTGTTTTGTTAATATAATTATAATTTGTTATTAATTTTTATTAATTTAATTGTATGAAAAATAGCTTCCATAAGATCATTCATTCAATTGAAAAAAATTAATTAACCTCTTCGATCTTTGTAGATTTACAATTTTTTGGGCTTTAAACGCGTATTTATTGAAAAGTCAAGAGACAATATATTGGAATATATCTAAACGGAAATCCTAAATTTTACGAAAACAAGTAAGAATTAGTCAGCTATTGATACATTGCAATCAAGTTATCTGGCATGTATATAGTAGTATTATTTTTCATTCTATATATTTAAGAATAATTTCTGCATTATATTTGATTCTTTTTGTAGATTTTATCACTTGTTATTAGGCTGTTTCAAATCTGAAATGAAAAATTACAAACAATCTAACATAATGTTGATAACATGTATATGACATAAGGATTTTTAAAAAGATTTGTTACTATAAAATATTTGACGATGGATCTTTGGAAGGAATAATTTTATAAAGTTGCAGATAGTTTAACATAAATTATTTATTGGCTATATTTAATAATTCACAGGTAATTAAAATTCTAAAAATTTATGTCAATAATAGTTTCAATGTTTTTAATGTTTTAAATATTTTTTGTTAATATATGATATAAAAATGATATATTTAATATTAAAGTAATAATATTATTATTTCAGAAAATGTCATCTTTAAGAACACAATCGACCGGTGGTGGTGTCCTAGGTTTGAGCAGTATTTGCTCTGATCGTACAGGAGCCACTTCAATTGCTAGTGGTTCTCATTCTCATTCCCATACACATAGAAAACATCATCATCACAGTAGAAGTAGAAGTGCTCCTAGAGCGCCAGAAAAGCCACCTAGAAAACGTCATTTAAATCCTGGACATAGCTTGGTTTCCATTCCAAGTCAAATTAAATTATCAATGTTAAACAGTGGCCTCATTTCTTTTGGTAAGTTCTTTTCTTCAATCGATATATTTGAATCTATATTATTTACTTATAAATTAAATAATAAAAACAAAGAATCCAAAAGCCATAATGTTATTTTTATATGTTTAGCGACAGAAGAACTTAGTAGTAGTATGAGCACTACATTGCCTTCAACACCAACTGAACTTTTACAATTTCCAAAGCTTTGTGAGCTTCGAAGAAAGTTTCCAGTTCTATATCGTGTAGAATTTCAAGTAAGAAATAATATCTTAATCTGGTTTCTTGATAAAATTTAATAATTAAACATGTATTTAAAATATTACTTGTTTCAAATTTCAGACAGCAGCAAAGGTAGAATCACATTCATGTAGACATGCTATAAAACCAGTGAATAAAGAAAAGAATCAAAACCAGAAATGTATTCCATGTAAGTATGAATCATATTAATTATAAGAGTGTTGTACTGTCAAAAAACAAATTGTTTTACATTATTTAATCCAAAGTGATAGTTAGTGGTTATTGTTAATGTTGAAATGTTTTGTTTCAACAAAAGAACTAATTCTGTTTGTTTTAATATTGTGTGATCTTTTAAGCTTCAAATTCTATCTAAATTTCTGTCATGACATTTAAGCAGAGATTGTTTTATGATACAGGAACGTTTTAATGCTTTGAAATATGCGCTTTTGTACTTTAGAAAATATTTTTTATAAGCTTTTTTTATGCGATGGTGGTTGACATGTTTAAACTTATAAAATATTAGACTGTACTAGGACTCTTCGTGGGATCCAGATTTGAGGATATTCGGATTCCTTGACATCCAGATAAATACATGACACGACAGCTCGAATCCGGATACCGAATATTCGAATCCGGATCCTACACTGAATTCAGATCCCATTATATGGATCTAACTCCTACACTAGTGCCTGCCAATGAAGACACGCCAACTACAAACGGTTAGTGCTATCACTAGCTGTTGCTGGTAAGTTAGTATATTTTTAGTAAATGCGTTATGACTATTCGTTGCAGTTGGTGATGTGTAGATATTGATGTTTTGCAAATTATTGCATATGATCTAATTTTTTTGAATTATTACAATGAATGCAAATTTTATTTCTTAAATAAAACATAAATAAGATAAATATTTCTCTTATTTTTCTAGTTTTATTTATTTGCCTTAAATTTCTCTTCAATTCAAATCCTATTCTTAATACAATGGAAATCCTCTTTGTAAAATATTGTCATAATAATATGATCACAATTTTATCCCATATCTTGATTTACTCTGCATAATTGTTTTGTTTTAATAATCACAATTATTTACAGATGACTATAATAGAGTGGTTTTGGATACAATAGAGGGTGAAACAGATTCTGATTATGTTAATGCATCTTATGTGGATGTAAGTATTTCAGTATTTTAGCTTGATATATTAAAATAGAACATTAAATACAATTGAAGATTAATTTGATTAACATTGAAATTTTTTATTAAAATTGTATTAACTTTTATTGCTTCATTTTATATTTTAGAGTATCTTGAAACCAAATGCTTATATTGTAACTCAAGGTCCTATGGAAAATACTGTAACAGAATTTTGGCGAATGGTTTGGCAAGAAAAAGCATCTTGTATAGTTATGCTTACGAAAACTTTTGACTTCATAAGAGTAAGTCAGTATTAGATTTAATTATTATAAGAATAGATTTAAAAAAAAAAATCCACATATTTAACATTAATATTACAACATATTTCATGTTGTAATTTATCATATCATAATTTCTGCAATATTGTGTAACAATTTCGTAGGTCATGTGCGTCCAGTATTGGCCAGCGAGTAAAGACAAGGATGAAGAATATGGAGGTATTGGAGTTTCGATATTACAGGAAGAGCAATTAGCCAATTTTCATATACGTACAATAAAACTTTATAAAAAGGATGAAAGCGATGTAATGTATAACAATATATTATATGATAATGTATAATTTGTATGAAATATTTTATTAAAATAAAAGTTTCACATCTTAATATTTTTAGGAAATTTGTGAAGAGAGAACATTATTACAATTTCATTATACTGAATGGCACTCTCATACATGTCCCTTTGGTAATGCAGTGTTAGAATTTCGTCGTCGTGTTAGAGCAGTTGTTGGATCTACCATAAAAAATGAATCAGGTCCTATGGTAGTTCATTGCAAGTAAGTCTTCACAAACGTTATATTACTGTGTAGAGAATTATTGAAAACTTTTTTTTATTTTACATTAAACTTTCTTATATTCTTTATGATTATTTTCTCTTCACAATTAAAGTGATGGTGGTGGTCGATCAGGAGTGTATCTTGCAATAGATGCTAATATGGAGTTAGCTGAAGAAGAAGATGCCTTTGATGTATTTGGATATTTAAAGAAGTTGAGACAAAGTAGAAGAGGACTGATAGAAAATTTAGTATGTAAAATCATTAAAAAAAAAAAAAAAAAAAAAAAAAAAAATAATTGTGAGGGGTAATATATATATACTAATGATATCGATGAATTAATTTCATTTAAAAATGTTCTAACTCATAGTAAATGCAAATGAAATATATCTTTACAGGAACAGTACAAATTTGTATACGACACATTGGAAGAATTTGTAATATGTGGTACTTCATGGTTTCCAGTTTCGGAATTATCGCTACGTTTGAAACAAAAAGGTATAAAAAATCCTATTAGTAAAATGAACGAGTATTTACGAGAATATCAACAAATATGTAAGCAAACTCCACGATTTACGATCGGAGATTGTGCAGGAGGACACAGAGCTGATAATCGTGAAAAGAATAGAGATGTTTTGGTTGTACCACGTAAGTTTTTATAAAAAAAAAAGAAAAAAAAAATATCAGACATGTTATACTCTATAGATTATTTTAAATGATTATTTCTTTTACTTAGCTGATAATTTTCGACCATACCTTACTAGTTTCCAAGGGAACAATTTCACAGATTATATAAATGCTGTCTTTGTGGATGTAAGTTTAAAATGAACTTTTTTTATATATATATAATATCTACATTTTTTTTTTTTTTTTTTTTTTTTTTTTTGATTCTATTAATTTATAATTATGATAATTTATAATAGGGCTACACAAAACCAAGAGAATACATTGTTACTGAGTGGCCACTACGAAACACATGTGGCGAATTTTGGTCTCTGGTTTATGATTATGAATGTGCAGCAGTTGTTGTATTATGTGTACCACCTCAGGGTTCTACAAATTTTCCAAGTTTTTGGCCCGAAGGAAGGCATTCCAAAAAATATGGTCCTGTATTTACTATTGATCATATTAGTCATAATCATTATACGAATATTAAAACTTGGGTAAGTACAATAAAAATCATATTCACAAATTATATTTTATAACATAGTTTTCAAGTGAAATATTTTTGTTTATATTCATCTTTTTATATTTATATACATCATATGTATCTACAAATATATGGGATATATTTCTACAGGTATTTAGAATAAATAAAAAAATTATTTCATTACCTGAGTTAATGGCAGGAGTGAAAGCACCTCCAAAAACAGTTCAATTATTTCAATTAACGTGTTGGCCTATGGGTCATAAAGTACCAACATCTACAAATAGCTTAGTAGAATTAATGAATATGGTCGAACGTTGGAGACAAAGAACTGATTATGGTCCAGTAGCAGTCGTGTCTCCTGATGGAAGAAGTCGTTGTGGTGTTTATTGTGCTGCCAATGCATGTATAGAACAAGTAATACAACACGGAGAAGTAGATATATTTCAAGCTGTGAAAACAGTGCGTAGACATCGGCCTCAGCTAATAGAGAATATGGTTGGCATTAATACATATTAAAAAATTATAAGATAACACAACAACAACAACAACAACAACAACAACAATATAAATTTTGTGTGATTTTTTTTTTAGACAGAGTATAAGTATTGCTACGACTTAGTTCTACATTATGTGCTGCATTATTTAAACAAAGATATGAACGAAAAAAAGTGAGAAAGCGAGTTGGGGGACGAGCTGTGGTTCATAGAATTTGGTCGTGGTGCAGCGCTACCATTAACACCAGAAGAAGCTTCAACGGATGGTGAACCAATTTTACCTTGTGCTCAAGGACATGTTGTTTATGAAACTACAAAAGTGATATTGCCAGAGTTGTCAAACGGTTCCACATTTCATAAAACGCCTAGTAGCAAAGAACTGAAGGTCGCAGAAAGTCCTGCAGAACAAAAGATATTATGGAATAGATCTATGGTGAAATCATTAGAAGAATGTGCAAATATTACTAATAGAAATATAAAAGATAGGATAATTTCATCGGGACGTGCTACTAGACCAGAAAACCTTGATATCACACCATGGTACCATGAGAACTTCTCTATTCCAAACAGCTCGTCAGAATATATGATTCATCGAAAATTCGACTCCTCAAGCTCACACGTTACTAAAGAATTAAAACTTAAGTTAATTTCAAAAAAGGATAGTAGTGTTGAAACAGAAACTCCGCAAATAGAAGCAATCGGTATTACGCCTAGAAAGGCTTACATGGATTTAGTTGATGCAATCGCATTGTTAGATGAGACTTGTCCAAATCAAGAATTTAATCCGTCCGATACAATAAAAATAACAGAGGCTTCTTTATTGCCATATACAGAATGTAAAAAAGTAAAATCAAAAAATAAGTCGAGAAGTTCTTATAATCACGATCACGATCGACTTAATCAACGTTCATTTAAAAGACATCGTCCACAGGATAAGAATAAAAATCGACCATTAATGAAGAAAATTGGAAAATCGAAAACCGAAGAAATGCCATTTTTAATAAGATCATCGCCGAATCTTGGCACCATTCGTAAACCTTGTTTTCAGAAGATTAGATCAAGAAAAGTTCTTGAACAACCTACTTTAAATAAAATCAGTTCTTTGAAAAAATTTATCTTTGATACGACAAATGTTACAGAAAATTTTGTTGTTAATTTTAAAAGTATCAGCGAAACAACAACAGATATTCAAACTAGTATTGAACAAACTAATAATCAGCAAGAAAAACAATTGAAAAAGTCTAGAACGATAGAATTACCTATTAGAAGATATTCTGATATAGGTCAAAGTTCTTCTGTGACAATACATTCCTTTGAAACAGATGATTTAGATAAAGTTTTCTCTCGAAAGACACCTCTTCGAGATTATCGAAGAGCTTCATTAGATAACGTAATCGATACCGAATCTTGTTCGTCGTTAGTGAAAGATGTAATAACGAATAATTCGAAACTTAGCATGCAACAACGATTCAATAGTATAGATACATTAATAAAACACAAAATAAACGTAAATGAACAAAGTGTTTCTTCTAGTAAGTATGTAGGTTCTTCATTCACAGAATTAGATAGATGGAGTAGCTTTTTTAAGAAACAAGAAGAAATAAAAAAATGTATGACTCATTCAACGATTGATTGTATTTGTACAAGTTTAAAAATCGGCGGAAGTACACCAAATTTGAAAGAGTGCATTTCAAACTCTCTACTAATAAATACATCGAGTAATGTAAAAGAACAACGTCAAAAAATAATCACTCTAAACAAATTGAAAGAAATTAGTCATGTAAAAGATAAAAAAATAGTTAGAAATACAACCTCGAAGTGTCAAAAATGGCAAATTTTCTTTGAACCTTTGCAAGACACATTAGATATGTTTAATGAATTACGCAAAGTAAGCAGTTTACTGAATATACCTTCTTGGGAGAAATTTTCTAATGTAGACAAAACGTTTGTTCAAATACCAAAACAGATTTTTTTAAATAAAAAAGAAACATTAAGACATGAAAGTAGCAGACAGTATATTGCAAGTGAAAGAAGCGAACCAAGCACAAATAGTCAAAATGAAAGAAAAGAACAACTTTCAAAGTTAATAGAATCAGTTCAATGTAAAAAAACATATTTGCCATTACATCATGTTCTTAAAGAAAAACAGGAAATAGATTCTAAAGCAATTTCTTTAACCACTGCAAAAGATTTAACTTCTCAGACTGAAGTAGATTCTAAATTCTACCTATCGGATATTTTTAATGTACCTTTACAGAAAAGGAATGTACAAGAACAGGAAGAGATGGATATGAAAATAAAACAAGCAACAAAGGCAAAACACAATCATTGTCTTGAAATAAAAGTTGCTAATCCTATGTTTCAAAAAGAAAGTAGCTCTCAGAAAATGGTACAAATTCAGGGACGGACCAATGATTTTTATGAGATCGTATCATCTAAAACAGTGCCGAATTGCGCTGAAAAACAATTGAGCAAAGTCTCTGCTGAAGAAGATACAAAATTAGAGAACTTTACCCTTGGTTCTAAGGTTGACTACCAGTCAGTTATTGAGCAAAAGCGGACCAAATGCTTTCCTTTATAATGCATGTATGTAGATCTACTTGTAGATAATGTTCCATAATAAAAACACATTGTGTTTGCATTAAAAATGTACAATGCCAGGGACAGGAGCCTTACGTATATAGTGAATCATGTTTTACTTAAACTGTTTCACTACTGTTTAGCTATACTTATCGTAAAAAATTTAACACTTATTTCTAATGCTGTACAGGATATAACGGACATTCGATGCGGATTGTATTATTGGTTTCTACAATAAACATTACGCGACATTCATAAAATTGGACAGGATTACAATCCTTTTTGATCGAGCCTTTGATAATAATGGACATAAACATAAAGAACAGCATGATCCCTTAAACACTGTCAAAAATGAAAGTGGTACAATACTAAAATATATACAAAAAAGTATGTGTAATATAACTTGTATCATTTAGTCAATGGTTTTTGAGGTGCCTTGCCTTGTATATGTTTACATATGATATATATATATATATATATATATATATATATATATATATATGTATGTTATGTATACATATCTTTTTAATAATGAATAATTTTTCATTTGTTTCCAAATGTAACTATGGATATAGCAGATTATTTAGAATAATAATTGGCTTTTCATGTGTCACTTTCATCAAGGCAAGGATTTGGATCATTTTTCTATACTGCTTATACAAAATAAAAACATATTTGTAAAATGTTGGTCTATATTACACATTATTTCTTTTGTTATCAAAACAAAAATCATAGACCAACAATATTTAACAGTCCAAATTTGACAAGATTATTAATCATTATAAAGAAGGGAAATTAGGACTTGGATAAGATGTGTTTATATAGAATGTAGCTTAAGTGTTTATAAAATTGTTAGAAAAACATTATTGTAACAGAAATGAAATATTGTTCTGTAAATATATCGATGGAAAGTAAATAAGATAATTGTTAATAGAAATAAGATGCGTCAGTATGAATACTTGTATAGACTCTAATAGTAATTTGTTCCTTTTTCATTTTATTTTTTATTTATAAAATAAAACTAAAGTTTCTTAATTACAAAGTTCATCACAAAATATTAGGATTCTTTTTAAATTTCTTATCATAAATCAACGATTTTTATTGTTTATATTGTCTCTTAATTAGAAATAACTTTTACGATTTTCTGTCAATATTTACATATGATTATTTTGAATATTTTGCTACTAATAAACATCGTCTGTCCAAAAGTAATGCTGCCACGGTATATAAATCATGTAAGTATGTAATATTTTACCAGTCAAGTCAATTAGAAGTGAGAAAAGACAAATAAAATCTTAAATAAAAAAAGATAAAATAAACTTTTTCTTCGTGCAAATGAATCTACATTATCGACTTCAATTTTGTATGATAAATCTGAAGATATTTCGAGATAATACAAGACGTTAACTTTTCTTATCATTCCGTCATCGGTAATACCATTTTATAATTAACGTGTTAGATGTGTTAGAACCTTGCACGATGAGAATTCTGCAATCTAGGATGGTGAAGTTCGTTTTTATGATATTAGAAGAAGGCAATGACTACGAATTCAAAATTTAATCATATTGAAATGTTAATGTAAAATTATTTTATATTTAACGCGCGTTTCGTACTACGTTAATGTTACTACTTAATGTATTATTGTGTAAAATATTAATTTAGTTTACCCCGTGTACATTATATATTATTTACATAACTATAAAATTGCCAAAAGTATTGATATTACTATATTAAGTATTTAAGTATTATTGTTTAAGTACTTAAATATTATTAGCAATGTAAAGTGTTAGTACTTTAATATTTAATCAGAGTTAGATTGAAGGATTTTTCAAAATACATTGGAATATATAGCCATTCATCCAGTAGTACTTGCATTGCGTGATTTTCCATTAAATTTCAATATATCGCAAATATTTCGCAAAGTAATCTAATCGAATTTTCGATCAAATAAAATCTGAGCATAATGTTCACGTATACATACAAGCAAGCAATCATTTACTTGATAAAAACAAAACACACCGCGGAAACATATCTCTATATTTTAAAATATCAGTATAGTAAAAATCAATTAATGTAAAATCAGTAATGGTGGTACGAGTTACTTTCTCTTTTATCTCAGATTTGAAGGGGCGCCACAATATGAAATTTATTTTTGACAGAAAATATCAAAAAATATTGAAAACAACAAATAATTTTAAATTCAGATGTAATTCGAATACCGATTTTTAATAACAAAGTCTCATTTTATCGATGAAGTTTTAAACGAGGAAATAACTTTTTCGAATTCTTGTCTCTGAAAACTATTCTTATTAGTAAATTATTCTCAAAAGAATATCTTTTTTAATAACTTTTTTTTTTTTCAAAGGAAAGAAAATTTGTTCAAAAATTCGAGAAAGTCATCTTCTTATTTAAATCTTCATTTTTATAATGATATCTTGTTCATCAAAATTGGTTAAGAATTACGTTTGTATTCATTGTTGGCGTAAACCATTACATATTCATTTGATTTCTTCAACATAACCTAAATTTACCACGCAATCAGCTTAGCACGTGGATCTGTGTGACACATAAAGAAGAGACCGAAATATTTTTTTGTTCAACAATTTATATTTAATTTATACAAACTTGTGATTGTGAAGAAGAAACTATAATTATGAGTGATATTTCTGAAAAATCTCATAAAACTACGTCTGAAACAGAAAATGGGGAAGTATATATTATATATGACTCGACTATGCCAGAAACAAACGAAAATAAAGTAGTACCAATCTTCAATTGCGCCTACTCTGACATTACAGATGATTCTAATGATAGTAAAAATATATTAATAGAAACGGTAGAGTCTAATAATACTACAGATACAAACGTATCTTATCCATTAAATAATGAAGTATATGAAATACATGATTCTACACTTGAACTGACAAAAGAGAATAAATATCAAAGAATAATGCATTCTGATAAAGTTATTACTAACAATAATATTGAATGTACTGCTACAAAAGCTATTGATAATGATAATGTTGAAGAAATGACTATAGAAGCTATTACAAACGATATTATTGAACATATACCTGTAGAAACTATTATTGAAGAAACCAATAATTTTGACACTCACAATTCTTCAATGCATAAGGATGATATGATTTCACATAAAATATCAGTAAGCAACAAAACAACTTCATCTCTTTCTGCAATTGCTGTAGAATATGATTCTGATGTAGATACTGAAGATAGTATATGTACCAATACAAATAAAAGTTTAGATCTTAATAAAAATCAAAATAATGAAAATATAGAAATTTTATGTTGTGAGAATACAAATGTATATCGTGTAAAGAATGAAGAGTTATCTAATAAAGATAGTGATAGTGATAGTAATAGTGACAGTGATGATTCTAGTAATAGTAGTGATTCATCAGTAATAGTTATACCAAATGATTCAGATGAAAATAGTGACAATGAAACAAAAAGGTAAGATAGTATTTTCTTTTGATATATCGATTTATAAAAAAGTATATATGTTTATAGTATACAAAGTATATAAGTAAAAGTATATATTTATTCTTTGTAGAAATAAAATAAAAGATAAAAGACAATCTAATGAAAGGGAACTAAAAAGTGAATTAGATGATCTACCTCCAATAGAAGATCTTAAAATATCTGTATCTGAAAATTCATGTGATTTAGTTGGAGAAGTGAGTGAACTGTGTTCTTTTTTTTTTCTATATTAAAAAATAAATAATAATTTATTATTTTTATTAAAAACCTTAATTTCATTTTATGTAGGTTGCCTGGATGGTTGAACAATTAGTAGTTGTCCGTCCTAAAGCTGGTAAACCAACTCTTAATTTAGATACTGTCCTTTTTATTGATAAAGGAAAAAGAGCATTGGGTAGGGTATTTGATGTTTTTGGACGAGTTTCTGATCCACATTATTGTGTAAGATTTAATAGTCCTGCACATATAAAAGAAAATGAAATTAATATTGGTATGGCAGTTTATTATTGTCCAAACTCACCATATACATCTATTGTCTTTTTACATGAATTAACTAAGTAAGTTTTAAATATTGAGTAGTTCTATTACACGTATAGTACTTCATTTATTAAATATAACTTCCGATTATTTAGAATGAAAGGTACCGATGCTGTTGATGATGATGAAGCTCCAGATTTTTCTGATGATGAGGAAGAAAGGAAATATTATGAAAATTTAAAACAAAAGAAAGTAAATGAAATAATTAGTTCAGAGGACAATATTCCACATAAGCGAAGACGCAAGTCAAGTAAGTTAAATATTTAATTTCTTGTAATTATTATTTCTAACACTATACCTTTTTACTTTTAGCCTCGAGTTGGCAGTCCAATCATCCTTGGAACAGAAATATAGGACAAAATTTTAAAGGAAGGAAATCCCAGGTTAGAAATAATGATAGTTCCGGTACATCTAATTCATATAGTTCACCATGGACATCGTTTCCATATTTTAATAATTTAAATTATCCGACTAATTTTCAACAAATGCATTCAACGCATAATGGACTTTATGGATATATGCCATATTCAAATAACTTGCAAACTAGCAATACAAACCAAAATTCCAACAAGTATAATATTAGCCCTCAATGTATTAATGTAAACAGAAATGAAACGTCAATACCAAATCCTAAGATTTCTTTTGGAATGCTTCCTAGGTTTCAATCTGCTACGTCAGCAAATGTTAATAGACATAATACATTTCCAGCTCCAAATATAAGATTTCCACGTACAGATATGTATTGGCAATCACAAACTTCATATGTGACTTCACCTTTATCCTTTTTACCTCCACCACCTCCACCTCCACCTCCATCTTCCATGATGCAAATGTTTGATGAACAAAATCATGATACCTCACAATAACAATGTATTGGTATCAAATTAAAATAATAAAACTATAAATAAAAAATATTTCAAATCTTACATATATTTTTTATTAAATATTAATATTAATAAAATTTCTTTACTTTGTATAAATATTTATGTAGAATTTTATGTTTTATGTATATTAAATATAATGCATTCATACATTAATCTCAAATTATTCAATGTATTCAAATATTTCATCTTATTAGCTTAACATAATATTTTGTCATTTTTTCTATACTATTTTATAATCTTAAAATTGATAATGAATAAAATATATTAATACATTTTGAATATAAGAATTGGATAAAGAATATAACTTTCACAATAAGTATATTTGTAAAAATTAATTGTTGAAAGACATTGTTATAATAAAAGAAAATTGGTCAACTTGTTAAAAAAGTATCATATTTGTAATCTAACATATTAGGTTTGTCTAATTCTTTCTCAGCAATCATAATATCGTTTCTTATTTCTTTTATCAATTCATCTGAAAATATTTGTTCTTATATATTTAATATTTTTATAATACTTAAAATATAAAAGATATAAAAGAAAAGAAAATTTATTTTACCTATTGATGCAAAATCTCTTTCTTTTCGTATATAACCAGTAACAATCACTTTAAGTTCCTTGCCATAAAAATCATTTGGAAACATTTCTAATATATGAACTTCCTAGAAAAAATTATTATGAAATTAGATTAATAACTATACTATATACTTCATTATAATTCAATTGTATATATATATATATATATTGTTTGCTACTTAACAAATGCTTTTTTCTCATTTTTATAAAATGGATTCCATCCAACACTTGCAACCATTTTATATATCTTTCCATCTAAAGCACTCCAACCATAATATATACCAGTATCAAAATTTTTAGGTAATGAATTAACAACGTTTTCTGAAAAGTTTGCTGAAAAATAATAATCTACATTAGAAACGAATAAAACAGATACAGATATATATATATAGATATATATATATATATACATATATATATATGAGTTTCAAAACGCGCGAAAATATTCATAATAGAGACTTTCATTAGATGTCATCAATGTAGACGGCAAATTAAAAAAATCTGTATTCGCAATATTGCAGAGGTAACGAATTAAGATGACATCATCATAAAATCTTATCGTATATAACAACTCGTTAAAAATATTTTAAATATCAGATATATCGTAACATATTAACATATTGAAATGAACAAATTGAAATTTCTATAGATTTATTTAATTTAATACAACTTGTGTATGTGTGTATATGTCTATATATATATATATATATATATATATATATATATATATATATATATAATTACATTATATTCAATAATAAATAATAAATTGTATAAAATTATTAATATACTATAAAAAATAGAAATATTTCAATTTCGATAATATAATCTGTTTTTTCCTTTTTACATTATAATACTTTAGATTGTTATTACATATATAGAATTTTAAATGTATAAATTGTAATACCTGTAGGAATGCCTAATGCTTTTGAGCCTCTACCAAAACCTCGAACCACTGTACCAGTTATAAAACATGGTAATATTTTGTTATTCATCTCACGCATTTGAGTTTCTCAGATTCGTGCCGTGAAGTAATTTTGATAAGCGGATATATGACGTTATAGTAAATAAAACAAATATATTCAATGTTTCTTAATTATTGAGAATACTGATATAACTGTTAGAGTAAATTTTTTATTCATTATAAAATCACTATTAATTCTCGATTTTTTTTTATAATATTACGTGGCGATGAGGACATAAGGAACTAGTTAATTTGTACATATGTAGCTTTTTTAATAGCTACTTTTATCTACGAATGAATACATATAAATGACAAATATTTGTACAGTACTACCAATATAAACGTAATACTATTATATTTTGTTCAAAGATATATCATATTTTACTTTTATTAAGTACGATAATTTAATGATTTTTATAAATTTTAAGTAATTACATAAAGCGTGCTGAGTTCGTTAGATAAATTGAAATAAATATGTCAGAAAAGAAACCAAAAATAATTGTTTTTGATTTAGGTTAGAATGCATATTTTTAATTTATAAAAATATTGTATTATTATTTTTTCTTACTGCTATTTTATTTTCAGACTATACATTATGGCCTTTTTGGGTTGATACACATGTAACACCCCCTTTTGTAAAACGGTTTGTTTTATTGAAATCATATGTAATTGTTTTATTGTAATATACTAATCACATGTCTTCAATATATTCTGTAGTTTTTTTGCACAAATACTTTTACTCTAAAATGAATATAATTCAATATTAGATGTAACATATTTTAGGAAAAAAAATGAAATAGTAGATGCACATGGTCAGATTATACATTATTATAAAGATGTACCTGATATACTAAAGAAATTGTCAGAGGAAGGATATGAGCTTGGCGTAGCATCACGCACTTCAGAGATTAAAGGTGCTAAACAATTATTGAACTTACTAGATTGGGAAAAATATTTTAAATATAAGGAAATATATCCTGGTTCCAAAACAACTCATTTTTCACAGTAAGTTCTTTAAAATGTTATAATGCATATGTTATGAATATATTTGCAACTAAAATATAAAAGATATTAATAATTATGTAAATAATTTTTGTTAGGATTAAAAAATTATCTAATGAGGAGTATAAAGATATGATGTTTTTTGATGATGAACAACGAAACATATCTGATTTAAATAAAATAGGAGTGTTGTCTATATTAGTTAAAAATGGTATGACGCATGAAGTTATAGATTATGGATTAAAAAAGTTTTCCAAATTATAATTATTATATATTTTGAAACATAATATTGTAAATAATACTGTATATACATATTTTAAGCAGCAATTTATATGTTATATATAACTTTATTCTTATCGCATAAAGTATATGATATAAATATGTTAATTGCATCAGTTAAAGAAAATATAATAATATAAATATTCTCTTACTGTATGTTTTACAAAATGTAATTAATACAAATTATTTGCCATTGTATAGTATTGTAATGGACTACTAACAATGACATCATCATCGCTATTTTTATGTACCATTTTGAAATAAGTTGTACATATTATTTCTGGCTTTTGCAAAGGCATAATTTTAAGAAATTTATCTATTTCATCTTTTGTTAATGAAGTACTCAAAAGATTAGTAAGCCTATCTGAATCAAAATTTTTAAATGGACAACCTCCTTCATATGTGGGTCCTGGGATTTGTGTCTAAAATTGAAATGAATATATTATTAAAAAAAAAATTACTTCTCCTAATATAGTTTATGATAGGATATAGAACATTAATTAAATACATACACACATAACAGTACAACTGGGAGATTTATAATTTCTATGAGATCCTTCTAAACCATAAAGATGTCTAATACTGTATATAAATTTTTTCGCATCTGTTTGCCATTTATGCATACAAACAGAAGTACAGGTATGTGGTTTAGAGTATTCCTCTTTCCAATATTGAATAGCGTCATCTATTTTCATTCCACTTTCCTTTAAAAATAGACTGTAATACAAACGAGCATAATGACTAAGACGATGACTTTTCCTCAATACTGTATGAAGATGTTGCATACACAAGGGAAACTTCTGTACTTCAAAATTTATGTTCTTATTATTTATTCTTCCAACGATAGGTCTATTTCGTGATATATAAAACAGAACTTGTTGCTTGAGAGAATTAAGTCTAACATCATTGTTCACATGCCATGTATGCGATTTAATATGTTTTAAATCTTGTATTAAATAAGTATTAAATAATGCTATCAATAATTTTTTCCATTGCGAACAATATACTATAGCATATCCAGCAGTTAAATCAACCTCTCTTCGTTTGATTAATTCTGGTATTAACTCAAATCTTACTTGAACAAAAATAAAGTAACAGATTTACAAAATTTGTTTAAAAAAATGCACACACACACACACACATATATATATATAAATGTGTAGTCTAAATGATATATATATATAGATACCTTTGTATTGAAAAATGCAACAATCATCAGTATGATTTTTTGACATAATATGTTTAAAAACTATAGATTGTAAATAGAATACACATATTCTTCGTATATTTAAATTTATCCCATTTTCTTTGTGATTGACCATATCCAATTGCCGTATAATACTTTGAAGAAGACTATTTAATTGTCTAGGTATAATATTATCTAGTCGATGTTTCAATAATAATGTTTCTCTTGGAACCCAATACATCCATAAATCAGTTGATGTTGAAGCTATTAATCTAAAGTATGAATGTAGTCTAATACTGATAAATCATCTCATAATGTGGTGTACATTAGAATAATACAATTATATAATTACCTTAATATAAAATGACCAACTTTATCATATGCAGAACCTTCTAATAAATATTGAAAATTTCCATCAAATTCATTAGTTTTGTTGTTATATAAATATTCTAAATATTCTAATCTAGTATATACACATTTTTCCATAACATGCAGACATATCTGTCCACTCGGCGGTTTAATATAAAACATTTTAGATACTGATTAATGTTTCAACGAGAGTTTTATTAAATTTTTAATTGACAAATTTTACTCGCTGAATACATTTTATTTTGAACATTTTTTTCAAAGTTCGCGTTTTTGCGATTTTGTGAATTATTGCATAGTGAAATAATAGTTTTAAGATTGGATACGTAGGTACTAAGAAGACAATGTTCTTATGCATCCAAACTAAGTATACCAGTATATTATTTTAATTTAATTTAAATCTATTTTGTCTTAATTAATTCCACGATGATTAACCCTTTGCACTCCGCTGTCCCTTCTCATGGGACATTAAAGTTGATTAGTGATTACGGGTAATTGAGTTATTTCAGCGCAACTTTTTGAGACATGCATGTTTCCCTGAAATTTTCTCTTGAAATGACACAAGAAATCAAATCAAAATATAGTAAAATTACTAAGATATATACAAGAAATGTAAGCGGCTTTTGTGCCAGACGAGAACACGAGAGGCGTGCTCACGACAGTCCGAGCACTTCAAAGGCGCCACTTGAAAAGAGCGATAAGGCAAGTTTGTAGAAGAAAGGTCGGTATGCGAACATAGCACGCACTATATAGTGAGATTTATAATCATAAATAAGCAAGTCTAAATCTGGAGGAAAAGATTTCTAATGCTGAACTCAGTCTGGTTTGAAGCACTGCCCGATATAGATAGATCTAATGACGAGTGAGAAAATCGGAAAAGTGATTCTTCTCTTGATAAATAAATTGTTTGGTAAAAGTTTTTTCTGGTAAATATCATCTTGTGAGTTAGTAATAACAATAAGAAATTTTCAATCCATGTATTTATTCATATTTTTAATTAGAACAATGGCAAAACGTTCAAACACGAATAAGTCTCATGACACAAGTAGTAGTGAAGATGAGCTCCAAATAGACGTTTATACAGATATGTTAGAAAGACTAATTGTAGGAGAAAACGATAGCAGTGATAGTGATATCGTCCAAGTAACAAGGCGATGAAGAGACTGCATAGATAGCGATAGCGATGAAAGTGATACGAAAGAAAACACACCGCAACATGACAACGTATCGTCAAGTGAAGAGTGGGAAGATGTCACTGAATCAGGCGTTCCTCCAGCCACGATAAAATTTGACTTACATGACAAAATAGCTGGACCACAACTACCAAATAATGTAAAAGAACCCATAGAATATTTTACATTATATTTTACTGAAGAATTAGGAGACAGTATAATAAAAGAAACGAACAATTATGCCAACGAAGAAATTAGAAAGGAACAACTTTCACAAAAATCTACATGGCACAACTGGCACGATATTACTGAAGAAGAATTTTTAGCATTCATCGCAGTTATCCTAAATATGAGATTGATTCAACTGCCAAATATTCAAGAATACTGGTCTACCGCTTTCAATAGTAGAATTCCTTTCTTTCCAGAAACATTCACTAGGTCCAGATTTATGCAAATATTTTGGATGCTACATTTGAAGAAACCCACGCAAAGAAATGTGACGATAAGAACTCGTATCCAAAAGGTTAGCAATTATTTAGAATATATAGATGGCAAGTTTAGACAATACTTTATACCGTATAAAGCAATCGTTGTGGATGAATCTATTGTAAAATGCAAAGGCAGAATAGCATTTATTACCTATAATCCGAACAAGCCAATGAAATGGGGTATACGCATATATGCGCTAACGGATTTAAAAACTGGATATTTATTTACAATACTTCCATACTACGGCAGCATAACTTCCGATAACATTTCCCGGCCTGATCTTCCAGTAATCACCAGGATTCCATTACATTTATATAATAAGTTAGACAGAATTCCCGATGCAAAAGGATACCACATGTACACTGACAGGTTCTATACCAGTGTTCTATTACCAGAAGAATTGTTAAAGATGAATTGTCATCTTACTGGCACCATACAAGTTAATAGAAAAGTCGTACCGACACAAATAAAAAAACCGAAATTTTCAAGAAAAATAACAGTTGCATACAGGAAGAATTGCACTACGCTTCTTGCGTGGAAAGACAAAAAAATTATCACAATATTCACTAATTATTACAACACACAACTGCAATCTACCCACAGAACATTACGCAGTGGACATGTTGTAACAGTCAATAAGCCTGAAATGGTGTTAGAATACATGGCAAATATGGGTGGTGTGGATCGTGCGGATCAATACGCTTCAACATATTACTTTCTCTGTAAGTCACTAAAATGGTGGAAGAATTTATTTCTTTGGGGGTTGGAAATGTGTGTCATTAATTCATACATTATTTATCGTATCTCAAAACAAAAAAGTTTCTCAAAACACCACAAGTTTGTCAAGGCACTCATTGACCAATTGAGGGGTGTTTTTCGTAAATCGAGAATGCGTCCATCCACATCTTCTGCGGACAATAGATTAGAAAATAAACTACATATTCCTGATGTGGGACAAAAAAAACGGGATTGAATTATTTGTTCTGACAGGAAAAAACCTGGTGGCAGGCGTCAAACAACTTATTATTGTCAAACGTGCACTAATCAGCCTGCAATGCACTTTGGGGAGTGTTTTAAAGTTTATCACACTGTACTAAATTATAAAAAATAAAATATTGATTTTTTTACAAATATACATTTCTTGATTTCAACCAATTTATATAAGTCCAATATTATTATAATATGTTAGTTAGTTCCAAAACCATACTAAATAATACGAGGATCTGTAAATGTACGTTTGTCACAAAGTAGCGCGCTGATTAGCTGATAGCCAATGTCTAAAATGGTTCGGAGTGCAAAGGGTTTAAGACTAAAAAGAAAAGAAACTAATTTTACTAGATGGGATGCTAAAATGTTCCTAGATTTCATGCGCCGCCTATTGACTCTGCCGCGAAGTACGATAATAGTATTAAAGAGTGTTGTTACAAATACAATACTTACCATGCTTCATTTTTTCTATTTTTCTTTATGTTCATAAGATGCATGCAAAAATTTGATAAAAAGCTTCATACACTCTCAACTATTACTCCATCTGAAGTTATTAAAAAACAAACAAATTCAGCAATTAAGATTTGAAACTCGAATTCTTTGACGGAAAACTGAATGTTAATAGAAGAGACCTTACTTTGTACCTACCTATTTCCGTTTGTAATTCTCAACTGAATGTTTTGTGATTCTAATTTTATATCCTATGTAATTATTTGAAAATGTCAAAAAAACCTAACAAAACTGTATGGGTAAGAGGAGGCAAAAGGACCAGTAATCCAGAAGACAAATATTACTTTGGTATTATTTATAATTACAATAATAATATAAACTCTTGAATGTTTTATCAATTATTTATGAAGTCATAGGAAATATGCAAAATATGCAAATAGAATATGTCCAATCTAAAAAAGAGTATTCATTAATTCCATGCATTTTGTCATAATTGTGATATCAGTTATATTGTCAATGTTAATAATTAGTTTATTAATAATGTTAAATTTTATTATACTGTATCATATAGGACATGATGATCGTGTTGGAAGAACAAGCGATGGAACATTTGGAAATAGACGTCGTGTGTCTTTTAAACCTCAAGGAAGATCAAGCAGAGATATATCAAGAAGTTTAACGTTGACATTAGATAATGATATTCCAATGGCAGGAACTTCCAATAATAACAATAGACAAGTTATTGTTTGGAGAAGGAGTAGAGGTTTATCTCGAGGAAGAAATAGTCCTTTACCACATAGAGCACTTCGTAGTGGTATCTTATCAATGTCTCAATCACTACCTGCTGGTGAAACTAGCTGGTATAAAATTACGGTAAATATTTCGAGTTAATGTGTAATTGTTTTTATTTATATACTATTTGTATGTATACTTATCTCTATTTATTTTTTAGATACCATTTGGGGCAAAATATACAAAAGATTATATTTTGAGTAGTCTTAATAGTATTGCTTCAGAAGCTTTTGTACCTATAATGGTAAATACATTTATAATAGATATTTTATAATTCCTGTCTATTAGTTCAACTTTCCAGATTTTTAATCTTTTTTTAAAAATCATTTGTAGTATAAGACCTCAGGAAATGAAGCATCATTTTATGTTGATAGTCAAAAAGCAGCAAATGTTCTTCTTCATTGTGATCGTAAAATTACAACAACAAATGGATTTAAACTTCGAGTAAAAATTAAATTAGGACTTCCACAGTGTGAAATCAGTGATGCTTTAAAAGAAAGATTAAAGCAAGCTATGATTAAACGATATGTTCCAGAAACAAATGCTTTAGATTTATCGAAATTTCATCATGATCCTGGTTGGTCAAGCAATTAATTTATGATTTTTGCATGGAATTATTAAATTACTTATTATTATAAAATACTTATTTAGTATAAAATATGTTTTTGTTATAGACCTTATTGCGGATTACTTTTGTGCGCTATCTCGACCAATTATGTTAATGGCAGTGTTAGATATTGTTTCCGAGTATGTACCCACGTTAGAAGCATTGAACCTAGACGGTAACAAGTTACATATGATTGAAAAACTTGATGTACTATATAAAAAATTTCCAAGATTAAAAATACTTTATATAGGAGATAATAAGGTAAATCATATATATATATATATATATATATATATATATATATATATATATAAATCTAACAAAATGCAAATATATATAATGTAAAAAACATACATATATATGTATTTGTTGTAGATAAAAGAAATGGGGCAATTAGATGCTATAAAAGAATTACAATTAGAAGAATTAAGATTGGCAGGAAATCCTGTCTCCAATAGGTATATGTCTCGTCAAAGTGACTATATTAGGTAATGTATTGTTTTACATGATTTTTTCTTTATTTTTAATGAAAAACATTTGGCAAAGAATGTAGAATATGTATTTTGATAAATTTCTACAAATATTGTCAATATTTAATCTTTGATTTTATATGTGAATATTAACAATTTTTATATTAAATACAATTCTTTATGTGTAATCAATAAAATTAATTAATATCTGCATTTTTTGCTAATTTATTATATAATAATACAATAAATGTTTTTGTTATCACAACTAACTTGGAATTTTTGTGTTTCTGGTTCTTCTTTTTCAACAACAGCGGTGTACGGAAAATATTTCCTAAGCTTTTAAGACTGGTAAGGAAATAATCTAATTATTGAGTATATAATAGAAGAAATTATATTATATTGTATTAAGAAAATAATTATGTATAAATATAATAATGATTTTGCTAAAAGTTTATCTGTTTTAAAGGATGGTATGGAATTACCACGTCCAATATTATTTGACGTTGCCAATGATACAACAAAAATGCCTCCTACTCAACGATTATTTGTCACAGATAGTAAAGCACAAGACATAGCAAGTCAATTCTTGCAACAATATTTTATTATTTTTGATAGTGAAAATAGGCATCTATTATTAGATGCATACGATGAGCATGCACGTTTCAGTTTGACAGTGATAAATAATCCTCAAAATACTGACAAGTAAGTGAAAAAAATTTATAATATATTATACTTTTTACAATATATTATAGATCATAATGTTATTGTATATTATTGGATTTTCAGATTAAGTGCATATCTTTCAGAGAATAGAAATTTGTTTAGAATAATTAATAATAATAAAAGGCAGAAATTATTAAAGCAAGGTAAATTACCAGTCCTATCTTTTATAATAGGACTACCACGAATAAAGCACCACTTAAATACCTTTACAATGGATGTCAGTATTGTAAGCGTAAGTTAATATTATTTGAAGAATATTAAGAATAAATTTTTTATATACTATATAAATAAGTTGATAAATCAAACTTACTTCTTCTTTTTTTTTTTTTTTACTATTACAGGAAGGAATGATGTTAATCACAGTAACAGGATTATTTGACGAATTGAATAATAAAGGTGATCAATTACGTTATTTCAATAGGACATTTATCATAATACCAAAAGGAAGTGGCTATTGCATCTGTAACGAGCAATTGCATATTAGTCTTCCCACCGAAGAACAACGTAAAAAATTAATCACTGATAATTTCTCAGTACAAATGACTGATATACCAAGTGGATCTAAAACTTTATCAGAAATACAATCGCCACAATTAACAGAAGACGTAAAACAAAAAATGGCTTTAACATTAAGTCAAGAAACGAACATGAATTCAGAATGGAGTTTGAAATGTTTACAGGAAGTTCACTGGAATTATGAAAATGCAATTTTAGCTTTTCAGGAACTTTTCAAACATGGACGAATACCGTCGGAAGCATTTGTGAAATAAAAATTGTATTATAGGTAAAAAATATGAAAAAAATACTTCATTCTGCATTCAAATTTTTCCTTAAACAATTTAAATTCTCACAGCCTTCAAAGTATTACGTACAAAGTTGATTAGTTTTGTAGATAAAAATGAGATGTGTTAGTTTATAATCAAATACTGTTGCTATCTTTTTTGTATTCTGTGCTATAAAAAAAAAAAGAAAAAAAAAAAAAAGAAAAAAAAAAAGAAAAAAACAACAAAAAAAAGAAGAAAGAAAAAGAAACAAGCAGAAGCAAGTTTAATTTGAATTGAAAAATTATAATTGTTATTAAATTTACAGTTACTTACAGATTTTAAAATGTAATATCTATTGTGAAACAATGTATATGATGAGGTTCATATAATAGCATTATATCATAATTACTGTTGTAATTAATTAACACAAAAATCAATGTCGCGTATGACAAGTATTTACATACTGTGTAATGAATTTTTCTTTTTGGACAATTATTATTAATTATTCATTTTTTGTATGTATGACTTAGTAATCAATTTGATAAAATATTTATCAAAACAATTTACTATACTAAAAAAATGTGTATATTACTAATAACATTGATTTACTATTAGTATGATTTTCTTTTCTTTATTTTTATAAGTTTTATCTTTTTTCTTAATTTCTTTTTTTTTATAATATAGTTTACTATTTTATAATATAATATGTAAAAGAATTTGAAGAAATTATTAAAGAAAAATGTTTATACACATATACACACACACACAACATAAATAATTGTATATAAAATTTAATGAACATTTTAGATTTCAAAGAAAATTAACTATTATAAATAATGCTGTGTTAAACAATTTATTTTCTGAAAACATTTGATAGATTAATTAATATTATAGTTCTCCCTTTTGTTCTAAAATTCAAGTGAGTTAATTACAAATATTAAAATATATAACATAAAGTAGAAGAAGATATTTTTACTAATACTATCAGATGTTTTCAGAAACTTTAAAAAGGATTGTATGATTTTGATAGATATAAGGGACAAATGTAATTAAAAAAATGATATTATAAATTATTATAAAAATCTGTTTTAAAGAAAGAAATCCTGCTGTTAGACTAGTCATTTTAAAAATCAAATGTTCAGATGTATATGATGTGAGTGTAAATTTTTTACATGCAAGTTTTTTCTATGATTGTAAATTAATTATTACTTCATATATTTTATGTTTTCAAGTATTTATATTACATAAAATTATTGTTTTTTTTATACGTTTTTATTATCAATCTGTTAAAAATGAAATACAAATATCATATATTTATAATATCCAGCTTTTATAAAATATAACTTATAAATTCTGATAATTAAATCAACTGGCAAAATTAATTTGCTATAATTGTAGCCTATTATCTTGTTAAAACAAATGACTACGTGTGGATTAAAACAAAAATATATGCTATATTATATATAGCAACGACGAATATGTAATATACATGTAAGCATCATATATTTAAGATTGCACGTTCATGCATTAAATGTGTATTATGCATTAAATACACATAACTGATGATATGCACACGTACACACAGATAAAAAAGAAAAAGATTATATATATATATATATATATATATATATATATATATATATATATATATATATATATATAGATAAAAATGATGATTTTAAGAAAAATAAAAATTTAATCTGCTAGACTGAACATCAGATTTACATGAAGAAAGTATGTAAGAATTTATTAAGAAGGATGACTTAATTATTTTTTTTATTATTTTAATTATTTACTTAGTTGTTTATTTTATTATTCACAGGGAATAAGTTGAATTTTATAATATATGAAAGAAATTTGAACACTTTAAACAATTTATACTCACATTTTATACAAATAATAATTATAATTTATTTTAATAAGATATGTATTAAGTCGAATCATAAATAATTTCCGATGCAGCTTAGTAGAATCTATTGTTCATATCTATCTACTATAAGTTACCGGGACAAACGAATTTTTGCTTTCACTAAATAGATAAGAGTTCAATTGATATTCTGACAAATATTATTTTATGTATTATAATTAACTCTACTTTTAATTCTTTATTTCTAATATTGTAATACATATATTTTATAAATTTGTTGTAGCTAAAAATGAATAGTAATAAAATGGATTTCATGTTTATTACAATGTTATATATACAGAATGTTTGTCCATGGACATACTAGGAAATTATCTTGTAATTTGTTCTCCATTAAGGAGAACAGACCTAATTCTTGAATGAAGAATATAGGTTAAAGGATGAACTATACTTACTTTCTTTTTTCTTTTTATTTTCATAAAATAGTGAATAGCCTTAAAAAGAAAAATTTATATGTATATGTCTTAGTCACAAAGAGCTTGTAAAATTTTTTTTTTACTCATGATCTTTTCAAGTTAGGAAGATGTCTATAATTTGTTTTTACATATTCATGCAATAGGGATCATTTGCAATCAAAATTATATTTAGTAAAAAATTATTATTATGCACTGAAATTTAATATATTGTAATTATTTATTTATGTAATTTTATAGTTATATGAAATGTTATATTTTAATTCGCGTATTATGCTTTAATTTGGAATCGTATTTTTCATGGCGGTGATTTACATTCGTAAACTCAAACTTGCGTGTGCTAACATAACCTATTCCTTGTGATTAGGTACGATTTATGCAACCGCTCGTGTATGTTCAAAACGTGTTAGCGATTTTAGCATTTTTCATATTTATTAGGATTTATTACATATCATAAAAATAAAATTTTTCTCTGATAGTATTATTTAATAATATTTTTTGTATAATATTAAAATAACTAATATGGTTGTTTTTACTTGTAATCATTGCGGGGAAACTTTACAAAAACCACGTGTTTCTAAACACTATCAATTTCAGTGTCGTAACAAACCTTATTTAACATGTGTGGATTGTTTAAAAGATTTTCGGTAAGTATTTGTTAATTTCCATTTTTGTAATATATTCTATTTGAAGTCAAAACAATTTAAGGGAACAGGAATATGTACAACATACAAAATGTATAACTGAGGCAGAACGATATGGTGGTAAAGATTATGTCCCAAAATCTACAGCTTGTAAGGGTGAACGTAAACAACAAGAATGGCTTAAAATTGTAAATAATGTACTTGAAACAGATAAAGATTTGTCTAATGCAGAAAAAAGTTTTTTACAAGCTTTGTCAAAATGTGAAAACATTCCCAGGAAAAAAGTCAAATTCATCAATTTTATTAATAATGCATTTGGATATAAAATAAATAAGTTAGTAGTTGAAAGTGTTTGGGCAAAAATGGAAAAAGCTTATCAACAGGCAGTAAATAATAATGTAAAGCAAGAACAAATTAGAGGTAAGTTTGAGTAATTTTATATTTGAAAATTATGTTATTACTCGATTTTAAATCTTATTTAAATTGTAGAGCCCAATGGTAATCATAAAGTAGAAGTTCATATGGAAGAAGATAAAAGTTTGAAAAATAACGTGGATAATAATATCGCAGAAAATCAAAATAATGAAAATATATTTAAAGAAAATAAATGTGATAAACAAAGTAATACGAATAATGGATTGTCTGACAACAACTGCACTGAGAAATTGGAATCTTCGAACAAAAAAAAGAAATCTAAGAAAAGAAAGCTCTCTCCATCAATGAAGAACGCAGAGGAATCTCCTGTTACTAAGAAAAATAATATGGATGATCTGAATGTAATTTCAGAAACTTTAAATGAAGTCCAAAATACAAATACATTGGAAACAACTAAATTTAATTGGAAAAATACTATTTTAAATATAGTATCTGTTAAAGGTGAGATATCTTTAAAGAAACTGCAAAAAAGGGTACGCACACAATACACAAATCATTGTCAAGCTGAAATAACAGATGAAAAGTTCATTAATAAATTTAATAAGAAACTTAACAAAATGACTGAAATTATTGTATCTGAACAAAAAATAAGACTGGCATAGATATATAAATTATTGACAATAAAAATTTGTGTTAATATTTGAAATTAAAATATGTTAAAAACAAAATTATTGAGAACTGTTTAAGAAATAGATACAATGTGATAAAATCTAAAAACATTTTATTTTTTTTTACCACTATACCTTAACTCAACTTAATAGGAATCTATTTAGAAAAATTAAGTACCAAATTTTAAAGATCTATTATGCTTTCGAATATTTGGAATTAATTATGATAATATTTTATTGGTGTTTTTTTTTCTTTCTTTTTTTTTTTTAGAGATATGAAATTATAATTTTTAATATTTAAATGGAATTTATTTGTATGGAAATATTTTGATTCAATGAACTCATTTTAGGGAAAAAGAAATATTAAATTTAAATGTCAGAGAAAAAGTAGTGTTTATAATATTACATATTATTTTTTACACATACGAAAAATATATGGTAACATTCTTTTTTAAACACACTCTATGCTACACTGAAATTCTAAATAGATTCTGTTATATACTACACTATTATTTAGTAAAACATAATATTTATATTTTATTTATCTTGGTAACACCTTATTCATTTTAAGTCTACTAGGTTTTCGTTATAAATTTTATTGTAAAAGAAATCAATATATTTTCAATAAAATAAAATTTTCTTTCTGTATATAAGTAATGATTTAAATTATAGTAAGTTTAAACAAAATGGTCTTTTTGAATTTATTTTCTTATTAGAAAATAGCAAAGTAATATTTTGATATTTTTTAAATCTACCAACGTGAAGATATGTATTTATTTAATCTTTTTCTAAAACTATGCAACTTTCATTTTACCTTCGTTCTTTTCTTTTTTTAAAGAAGATCTCTTTAAAGTCAAGTACCTCTCTTTAAAATAATATACTGTACATACACAATAAACACGCACATGTGTTATCTAACTAATTGTGTTATATAAGTATTTTATTTTACATAGTCATCTATTTTCAATTATTGTATAGTATGTTGGGAACCAATTAAAGGAAAAGTTTGTGTGATTTTACCAATTCCTTTGGTACGACCCTCTCTTAATAAAAGTCGCATTCCAACATGAAGGTATTCTGGATGACTAACAAACCTAAATAATATAGACGCTGTGTCATTTGTTTGTAAACCTCTGTCTTTCATATCCATTATACCTTCAATTATACACGTTTGCCTTACGTTACCTACATGAACAGTAGTTTGAAAACCAGAAAAAATTGCAGTAGCATGGTAAACAATTAATACAGTAGCCTGAAACATACAATTAAGAATGAATATTTTTCGTTCATTATAAAAATATTGCTTTGTACAAATAGTTTAAATGAAATGAAATTAAAATTAGATCAATTAAAGAACATTATTTACTTGAAAAAATAAAGTTGCATGTGGCTTATCTCGCACAGAAACTAAAACCATGCCTGGTCGAAAATGTGGTAGAGGTGGACTATGGTTTGTCGATGGTGCCAAAGTTAAACTGGCACTTTGTGATGCTCGTACCAAACAACAAGGAGCTTTGTTACGATGTATGCTAGCAACTTTTACAGGGCTAAATTTACCATCAGGTAAAGGTCCTACCAATAATCGTGTTCCAGGTGCAATTGCACCTTTTACAAGTAAGCCACCCAAAACAGGTTGAGTTAAACCAGCAACTCTACAATATTTTGATTATTACATACTAGTACTATTATTATTTTTATACTATTATATTTAATCTATGTATTATAAGAAAATATTTAAGATAATATGATATTATTTTCATACACAATTCTTACCTAAATGTTTCATCAATTTGGAATAGACACGATTCTGGATCTGAATCCGTAGGATTTGTTTCAGATGGTGGTAAGTTTCTAATAAATGATGTTAATTCTCCTAAACCTTTTCCAGTAACACAACTGACTGTAAATACTGGTATAATATCTGTTTCATAATACTGTGATATATTGTTATTAATATTATATAATAATAATTGTTTAGAGTAACCATGCGCTTGTATAGCATTTTCTAGTTGAACTAAGGTATCATGAGTATCATAAAACCCAAGATCATTTTTATTTAAAACAATGAAAAATGGAAGTCTTAATGTCAGGCAAAGAGCCATATGTTCTTGTGACGCTTCGTTCATTGGTGGTGCAATCACCAATATGACATAATGAGGAGAATATCCTATAACATTAAATTATTTTTTATTTATTATCTAATTTAATTCGAGGTAATAAAAAGAAGGGATACGTTAAAAAGATCTTTTACCAGTTAATCCAGAAACTGTTGTTCTTAAATATTTGCGATAACCAGCCAAATCTATAAAGGTAACAACTTTCGAAGCATGTTCGCAAATTTCTTCAGCCGTTGTCATTTCAGCGTAATTTAAGACATGTCCTTCGTTATCAAATCCGATAATTTCGTGCGAAATCGACGATGTGCGGCCTGTTTTTATTTCGTGAAGATGTCGTAACATATTTAATCTTGCTCTCCCTCTACCATTATCTAATTCACCTTGCGTTAATACTCCTAAATAGATATTCCTTCTTATAACTCAAATATACTATCTTCATTATAAATGGATAAAATAGAATGAGCAAAATAAATATTGCAGAGCAAACTTTAAGTATACTTCTCTACCTTAAATGTCCTCTGCTAAGCCTCTCACCTAAGAGAGTTGACTTTCCAGCATCCTGAGCACCTATTACTGCCAATCTCAAGTCAACAACACTTCCTTGATCCTCTCTATCGTCTTTTCGTAATTTCTTCACCAGAACTTCGGCTACTCTTCTCTCACCATCACATTTTTTTTCCTTAATATTTTTATATTTAGAAATGGCAACTCTTTCACGAAGCACACAAGTTGTCGCACCTAATCTAGAAGCCATTTCTTTTAAAGTTTTAAGAGATGCCTTTAGTTCATCTTTTGATAAGCCTGTCAATCTTCCATTATCTTCAACACCTATATAAATTTATCAATGATAAACTGGATATTTTATAAACAACGTTTAAAGAAATATCTAATTTTACCAATTTGATAAATTGCCTCTCCATGACCTTCTCTGAGTCTCCATTTCATTTGTGTAACAAGATGTTCGAATCGTTGATTAGATGGATTTATTAATTTCAATTTATATTCAACATTGCCTTGCTCTGGTTCTGGTGGTAATTTTTCTTCTTGATTTTCATCAGCACTGTAATTTTCACAATCCGATACATCATTTTCTTTAGTCTCTGAGTCATCCCATGTGCCTCTTATAATATTTTTGTCATCCTCTGGGTCAAATAATGCTAAGAATGACTCCATATCTAAAAATTATCGATAAATATTATTAACCAAATGAAATGGCGTTGTATTAAACAATACTTAATGTTAAAATCGTTTATCAATATTATTTATTTGAAAAAAATTGAATGATGTAATAACATATAAAATGATACAATATCAATGTCCTAATGTTTCTCTAATTATTTAAGAAATTAATAATATGATACTAACGCGATGTTTCTCATTTTGAATGAAAAAGAGAGAGATAAGACTTGACATAAAAGGATACATGACGCACTATATATATATGCCAACATAACATAAACAGATGTATATATTATGTCGTAAAGTCAAACATAAGAAGGACAAAATGCGTGCCCACTCGTACGCACGTTTGTATACAAATAAAAATAGCAAAATCGTTTTCAAAGGAATAAAAATAAAAAAAGAATTTATTTAATACTTATGTTTGATGTACAGCTGTTTGAAAGTGAAATGACAGTTGTTATCTAAAATATTCGATAGAATTATGACGTAACATTTTCCAAACGAACAGAAGATAAAACCAAAAATTTATATTAAAAATATTAATGTTTACTTACTACATTTTCAAAAACTTTAAACTTTTCTTCGATATAAATGTATGTTCCAATCCAAAATTACTCAATCATCCAAGCTTCTTGCCATAGTTGTGGCCGCCATGACAAATATTCCTTCAATCTAGAGTTACCAACATCCAAAAATGTAACACAAATGATGCAATTTGATATAATTATGTTTAAAGTCTTCGATCATCTTTATACTGTTTATATTTGAATAATAATTGTATTTTTATTTTTCTTTTTTTATTATTTTTTTTCTTTTTATCTTTTCATAGAAGAAACATTTTTCAATCCGAATTTTTGAGTGTTGACGTCATTACCATATGAAAATTTACGCGAATAATATAACATTAAATAAAAAACGCGATCTATAGTGAATAATAAAATAGAAACACATAGCGTCATCTATGATATAAATAAAGGCAGCTGCATATATCGTTTGACAGAAATTATTAAAAATTTGAAATTGTAGAAAAAAAAAAACAAATCTTCCTAACCTAACATAAACATTATGAAGTTTTTGAATTATCAATAATTTTTCCAAAATCTTTCAAACGTACTTATTCGTATGTTTTGTCCGAATATAGAGGGGTTGATTTCTTTGGACGAGTGTACTTGAAAAGAATATATAAGGGTAGGAATCCCTCGATTCAAGTGTCACGTGTCCTATTTACATTAACCCTTAGGCGAACGCGTGTCTTATATCCTTTACGCCTTTATGTTCTGCAACACAAATATTGCAAACTAAATTACGTATGATATATACCTATGTATTCATTTTACTTTGTTATTTAAAGAAGAAAATAAAAGATCCTAAGGGATCGAATCGATTCTGATCGATTTTTTTCCTTTAATTTTTCTTATAAATTTTAATCGTTCATTAACGAAAAAAAAAAAATTTAATCATTATAAATATTTTATTTTCTCCTTCAAAATTCTATCTTCTCTTGTTAATTATTTTTTTTCTTTTTTCAATTTTAATCGATAATTAAATAATAATCGATGGAATCGTATTTTACGTAAATTGCGTACGTAATTCGATAGCTCGATATATATGATCGGTATTATTATGTATTTGCGCAATAATAAAGCGGTCTGAAAAATATTGAAATACTATAATTCGTATGGTAGCGAAAATGGATCATAGTTTGAATGTATCTGTTGATGACAAAATCTTCTCTGATGGACTATTCAGAAGGCGTATTATCTCGGTTGGATCTGTTGACAACGTAAACACAAATTGTGATTCGCCGGACAATGTCAAAAGAGGATTTAATTTATTCGTTCGCCCTGGGCAAATCTCGATGGTTTCTTTTTTTACAAAGAGTAAAAGAAGACAAGGGGAGAGACAGCTACACGCAGGAGAGAGAGAGAGAGAGAAAAAGAGAGAGAGAGAAAAAGAGAGAGAGAGAGAGTGAGAGAGAGAGAGAGAATACTGGGTTCACGTAGGATGAGTTTATTAAATTGCGCGTTATTTTAAATTGACGAATATAATAAACATGCGGATGAATTTTATGAACGTTGCGAGAATAAAATAACACAGGGTTTTGCATATTTATAATAATATTTGATAATATTACATAAGAGAAATTTTCAATTATCAATGGATTAATTTTGTCGTATAGTTAAAATTATGTCACCGTTGGAACTATTTTTTATGAATCCTTTGTCAACTTGGAACTTCCACTGATTCATAATTTCTGTGCAAGTATGTATATGTATATATATATAAAATTATATATATAATATATATATAAAATTATAAATATATATATGTATATATAAAAGAAAAAAATAGTAACATTTTGATATATAAAATCAATATGCTAGAATTTTATATCTTAAATTCTAGCATTTAATGTTGCAACATAAACGATGAGTTATGTTAATAATTTTAATAATCATCCGAATCTTAGATAGTAAGGATCACGCGATGACGTCACGCAGCAGTTATTAGAATAAAACTAAAACCCTAATTTCGTTCGTGTTTTCTATTAAGTATATATATATATATATATATATATATATATATATATATATATATAAATACACATACACGTGCGATATGCTGTTAATTGGTCGATGAAAAGGTAAAAATCTACCCTCAGAGCTGTTAAATAAGTCGGAAATTGTGCGACATTTCAGCGCGTTATATATCGTACGTTGATCCCTCAGAAAGTCGAATTAGAAAGAGTTTCGTCGAAGTTTATTGAAGAAGGATATAATAAGTATTACGTGGTCTCTTTCGTTTCGTCTTCTTGCAATCGCTTTCAATAAAAATAATTATCTCGTCGTTTTTATGAAAAAAAATCGATGCTCATAGATGAGGGTAGAAACAATACGACCATGTGTAGACTTGTATATATATATATATATATATATGATGTAAGTACGTATACGTTTACACGTCTGAACGAATAAGTGACGTGAAAGAGAGAGTGAGAGTGAGAGTGTGAAAGTAAGTGTGAGTGAGAGAGAGAGAGAGAGAGAGAGAGAGAGAGAGAGAGAGAGAGAGAGAGAGAGAGAGAGAGAGAGAGAGAGAGAGACGAACAGATAATGAATTCAATTGGTTAGTGTGGGTGTAACACCCTACTCCGTTCGAAAGCAACCAATCAGGAAGAAACGAGGGCGCCGGCTGCTACATTCGAAATATATAAATGTGCCAATATCTCGTCTCCTCTATTCAGACAGTTCTTTCTTTCTTTGCCAGTGTCACCTGAACATCCCTTGTCAAAAGTACGAAGGACAAAGTTACTAATTTCTTGTTATCTTCGAATTTTTTGAACGATGGTAAGTTTTCTCTGACATTTTTAATATCTTTTGAAACTCGTCGATTAACTCGTAGAAATTTGACAATTATCGTTTACAGGTTATTATCATTAGCTTTTCCTTCAATATGAGCAAAATCGAACATTAGAAAGCTAAATATGAATTGTTTTTCGTCGTTTCATCATTATAGACATTAAAAAGAAATTAAAGTAACACGCGACATTTATGGAATTTTTTTTTTTTTTTATTTCGATTTGAAACGAGATTATAATGACATTACGATTTTTACGATAATGACACAACGATTAATCGATTATTTTTTCAAAAGTTTCCCAAGTAGACACCTTTCCCGCCTTTTTTCTTTCTTTGCTTTTCAATTATTTAAAACTATTCTCAATGCGATTTCTCTTATCGCGGTGTGTACAAATTCCCATAATGAGGCCAGAATCGAATTGCATGATTTCATGATATTCGAGTGTCGCGTTTAAATTTCCTCCTACTAGTCATCGGAGAGTTGCAGTCAGATAAGATAAATAATCATTTCAACTATAACCTACGTTTGGAATTTAAGAACTGAACGCGTCCTTTTCAATATATAAGAAGTTCATTTGTAACATCAATTTAATATCTGATATAATTATTGATATACGTAGTTTTTTATCCTCTTTTTTTTTGAGAATTCAGGTATTAATATTCACGTTGTTTGTGATAGAAAGAGAGAGAAAGAGAAAGAGAGAGAAAGAGAGAGAGAGAGAGAGAGAATAAAATTTAAATGCACATGTGTCTTATTGATAATAGAAATATTATGTTAAACGATATTTAAAATACGTTATTAATTATTACACAACACGCGAACGTACACACAACACATGCACACTTAGGCTTCATATATTCGTAATTAGGTTACTTGTTGCATCATTTCGATCGGACGTGCCGGTTCCCTCGTCTTCTATAGTTTCGGTTTTAGCCTCTGTTTTCTTTCTATTTCTTTTTGTTATTTTTAACTTTCACAGATGAAACGATTCTTAACACCGTCTACTCTTTTCCTGATCATCGTTACGACGAATACGATCTTTGGAAGTCCTTTATCATTAATTAGATTATTAACAAATAATCATGCTTATGGCCATGGAGTTAACAAAGGTTCTAATCATTTGGACAATGAAAAGAATTATGAGAATTCAATATCCATAGATGATTCTGCTCCAACGGCTGATATTAATTTACAGGTATTGCAATATTTTACTAATATATTTTTACCTACGTTCGAATAGATTACTTAGGCTTTTCTTTTTCTTTTTTCTTTTTTTTCTTTTTTTTTTTTCTTTTAATGGTTTCGATATTATTCTTTTTTCTTTCTTTTTTTTTCCAGGATTACCAACATGATTGGACGAAAATTACGAAGAACCCTGCGAGTTCTTTAACTGCCACAATCGGGTTAGTTTAGTTGCTCGTTAATTTTATTTATTTGTTTATTCATTTTTTAATTATTCTTTCATTTTTAGAAATCGAATCGAGTTACAATGTGAAGCTAATGGCAGTCCACCGCCACAAATTCTTTGGTTGAAAGGAAACGATCCGGAAAAGCAGGTTTTTATCATTTCTAGATTTCACAGCTGATATACCGTTGGTAGAAGAAGGGAGGGGGAAGAAAGAAAGAAAGAAAGAAGGAAAAAAAAGAGAGAAAGATAAAGAGAAAAAGATAAAGATAGAAATATAAATTTCGACATAATAAACGACATCATTTCATTGGAAATCGTAATAATAATAATAATGTTTGTCATTCATTTGGTCATGGGATGATGATTATCTATCCCCCATCAAAGGAAATAGGTTTAAAAAGTAGAGAAAAGAAAAGAAGAAAAAAAAAAAAGAAAAAAAAAAGAAATAAATAGTTTCGATATTGAGGAACGCCACGCAGAGAAGTTGACCTCTAACAATATGCATATTACAGTAGGACCTTGATTAACCGGTCTAATCGGGACCGGGCCAGGCCGGTTAAATCGAGATCCACCGGATAATTGAGACCTGGGAAGTGTATAAATGAATAGAGGCCATTAATGAATTCGTACATTGTAGAGAGATGATAACGATGAGAATATATATTTTTTTTCTCTTTCTTTTCTTTTATTTTTGAATAATGTATTTGCGATCGTATCAATATTTTGATATTTCTTGATGAATCAGGGTCCCTTTTATTGTATTTATTATTATTATTATTATTATTATTATTATTATTATTATTATTATTATTATTATTTTCTTTTTTCCCCTTTGGAATTATTTCAGTCGATTGTAATATGTTATCGGTTGGTTAGATCATCCATCATTACAGTAGCATGATGTAACTTGGAAATATTTTTGCATTTCTAGTTAGCCGAGTTTCTGGGCAAAAGTATGGCGGATATGGAGATTTCTTCCGACGGATGGGAAGGACTCGGTCAGATTGTTTCGAAACTCGTCATAGAATGTGTTACACCGAACGATCAAGGTTTAATTTATTGCGCATCCGTAGCTGGCAAGAAAGTGCAGTTGTCCAGTCCGACCTTACTCTTGATCAATGGTAATAACAATAATTGTTTTATTAATCTGTTTATTTACGTTATAATGTGTTTATACACATTATAAATATTTATAATTGATATGATACGTAAAAATTAAATGTTTATACGGTCCGTTATAATTTTGTGAAAAAGTTTGTTAACAATTGAAAAAAAAAAAGTTTAAATTTTCCAAGTTTTAAAAGTCAAAAAGGAAGAGAGAAAATTTTTTCTTTTTTTTTTTAATTTTTATCATATAGATATAATTACTTAATAAAGTAGAAATTTCTATGAAAAATATTTTTTTGATTTTATATCGACGTCAATATATTAATTATATCTTAATAGTATGTTATAATCTCTCTTTCTCTTTTAGAAATTTATTATGAAAATATTTATCGAAATTGTGAAATTAAATTGATAACAAATATAAGTAGTATATATATATATATATATATATATATATATATATATATATATATATATTATGTCTTTGTTATCAAAAAAAAAATATATATATATTTATTCAACTTTTACAGTATATTACTATCCTAGAAATTTGTTACAAAAATGTTTATCAAAATGATTAAATTAAATGACCTATAAGATATTATTTGTATATTTTTAGATTTACCAAGTTATTCGTAATTTATATTCATAAACGATTAAAATGATAAAATGATGATAAAAAGTGTAACATTGAAATAATTTTCATTGAATTGCGTGTTTACGATTTAGGAGAGAATGGAAACAGCAGTTGTAACGGCGAAAATAAACCCACGATAAGTCTGTACTCACCGATGAGATTTGCTCTGATTGGATCTACGGTCGTTTTGCCATGTAGAGCTACAGGCAAGCTGAGACCTTATACGTATTGGTTGGACAATAACGCGGCAGTTATACATTCGTCCTCGAATCCACGACATAAGATCTTAAGAAATGGTGATTTAGTCATAGATCCACTCGAATGGACAGACATGGGAAGTTTGACTTGTTATGCCAAATCGGATTACAAGGAAGACAGTGTGACTACATTCCTTTATCCAATGGTAGTAAGTTGTTTTCTATTTTTCATCAAATTTACGATTAATCATTGACAAATAAATTATTTTTATTATTTTTTTCTTTTTTTAATTATTTTCATAGAACGAAAAGAAGCATTTCTAAAAGTGAAAAGAAAATTAAGAAGAAGAAGGAAAAAAGAACAAATAAAAAACAAATTATAAAAAAGAAGAAAAAACCCGACGAAGGCCTATTGTCGATGTTCTCAAATTCGTATGATTATACTAATTCAAGATTTAAAAGAGTACAGTGAAAGTATCATTTCGACAGTATGCAAATATGGTTGATTCATTTCGAGCGTCAGTTTAATATGTTTGTCCTTTCGATCGCCGTTCGCTCTGAGAAATTTTTCTAACGAAGTACACCTTCGAGCGCACTCATGCAATGATTGCTATAAATCAAACTGGACACGACCAGTTGATCTCTTCCAACGAAATTATCATAGCTTTCTTCTCTTCTCGTTTATTCGTCTTATGATAATACATATGTACAGACATACACACATGCGCACGCACATACACACACATACATACAAACACACACACACACACACACACACAGCTGAACTTATACTATTTGTCGAGTTATAACAATATAATTTTTCTTTTTTTCAATTTCTTTCTATTTCACATCTATAATGAATATATTTTTAATATGTATTTAACGATCGTATATATCGGTATTAGAAAAGAAAAAAAAAAAAAAAAAGAAAAAAAAAAAAAAGAACAGTAGTTATGCTATAGTATATAATTTTAAACGATGTACTTATTTGTTTGTATATTGTGCAAATTGTTTGTTCATATTTTTATGTATATTTTTTATTATTATTATTTTTTTTAATTTTTATCATATTTTTATATACGTTGATATTTAGATTATATTATGTAAGAGCTTTTCAGAATTATTGTTAATGTCAATGGACCGCTACCTCGATTTTGCATTAAACAAAGAGGGTATCTTTATCAGTATTATTATAACATTAAGAAATAATGATGAGAAAAAATTGTCTTGTACTTTCTCCACATCGACGCTTTGCAATGTAAATTAATATAAAATATACAACTTTCAATAAAAAGTAGAAACATGTATTAGCAACATTGTTTAGTATTTATATTTTCGTCCATTCTATTTTTTTTGTCCCTACATATGATGCATAATTATTATGATTTATTCTCTGTAATAATATATAAAAATATTTTGTTTAAAATCGAATAATTTATAGCGAAATGTTAATTAATATTTTGTCGGAACAAATCTCAAGTTAGAGATCTGTAATTATCCATATATCCTTATGGTAACTTTTCCGAATATAATCATAACTAAATAATGAGTCGATAGATGGCAGCAGAAGAAAGTTCTCGACATCCGCGCATTCGCCATTTTAAATATTTATATTCTGCGGAAAATTCGATCGAAAAAAAAAGTACTCGCATTCTTATTGTTTCATACGATTTAGTTATTTCTTCTTTAAGTATAAAACTGAATAAATTTCTTTGATGCATTTTCAAGCCAGTAGATTACATTTCCTTAGCGTTTCAAATCGTTTATCGTACTGTCATATGCCACGTGATGAATCGCTTTCCGCATTCTCTTGGAATTAATGTTCTCCCGAACGTTTTTTACCTCTTTCTCTTCTTTCTTAGTCCTTGACTTTTTTGTAGTTGAAGTAGCCGAGTCTACTCTGACTCTCAGGAGACGAAGCATATATTTTAACACTAAATTACTCGGTCGTCTCGGGTTGACACGAGCTGTATAAACGGAACCAAATAAACTAGAAGCAGGCCGGCGGCGAAGAGGAAGCGCGCCAGTCACTGATGACCGTTCTTCATTTAGCAATTCGCTACGCATTCTGAAGCCTCCGGGGGTGGCCAGCCATCGCCTTTTCTCTGGTAATATTCTTACCGACTCTACATGGATAAGTCACTATACCCATTACGATCATCCACATTCACCAAGACGAGTTCTTTATCTTTTTCTTATTTTTACTTTATTTTATTTTATTTTATTTTTTTTTTTTAATATTCTATAACTAGTGACAACGTTTTGATCGTTAAAAAGAAGGACACTAATCAGAAGAAAATTAAGAAAAAGACAGAGCTATAATAGATATTATAGTCGATATATGAAATAACATTATTAATGGCTTGTGCAAACGAAGTAAAAAAATATTATATTATTTTAATGGCTAAGCTTCTTTCTAAACTTTTATGAATTGACCAACTCCTAATAAATTTTCGCTAAGTATGTCTCATAAGGGACATATAAATTATTTTCATATTTTAATAGTCAATGCGACCTATCAATGGCAATTATATACTTTGGTAATTTCTAGTCTATGGTATATAGTCGATATAAAATATGTCGATTTTACCATCTCAAAATAAAGTTGAACAGCTGTTCAATTACAATCAAAATATATAGATGGCGCTTGTAACAATCAGTAAACACGTCCAATCAGATACGGTCTTATATATTTCAAATAAATCTCCCGCGATTATTTATATTTACTTACTTTTCTCTCTCTCTCTCTCTCTCTCTTTCTCTTTTTGTTAATCATACCCAACCCTCCAAGATTATATAATAAATATATATATATACATTTTAATCAATGATAAGATAGATAATCTTGCTAATCAGAATAAACAGATGTACTACTTTCTCTTGGTAGCATAATGTACCCATATAAAGATATATAGTAGATAGTTTATATTCTCATAAAACTTGGTAAAGGAGGAAGATAAAAGGGAAGGAGGTGGATAAGGAAGAGGATGAGGAAAAAGAAGGAATAGAAGAAGAAGAAGAAGAGGAACTGGGGCGAAAGAGGAAGAAACGTTGAGAGACTAAGGTGGAAGGGTGAAGAAATATGAGAACTAAACGTATAACATGCGGTTAGAGGTTGTCAAGAGAATTTTTTGTGTTCCATGTTGAGAGAATCGTGCGTGTGGTATATACATCATCGAGGGATCACTGGTCTGCAGGTGCACTTCTCTCTTTCTCTTTCTCTCTTTCTACACATATATATACACACATACATCTGGTGTGCGCGTGTAAATGCATCGGAGAAGAGACGATGACGATACGAATGTGATGGTTAGGCGTGCACTCGGCACGTCATGCACACGGAGCAGTCTCGTTACTCAGAGAAAGGAAGAAGCAGAAGAAGAAGAAGAAGAAGAAAAAGGAGGAGGAGAAGGAGGAGGAGGAGGAGGAGGTAAGGTAGGTAGGTAGGTAGGTTGGTAGTCCTAGAGAGTAGTACGTTCGCGAGGAAGTTGTCATAATACCAGTAATCAACGTTGTAATGTTGATACTGCGCGTCTCCACGGCGATCCGAATGCGTGTTCTCCTTTCTGCGCATGTCGTCTTTTTCTTTATATTGTCTTTTTTTTCTCTCTTTCTTTCTTTTTTTTCTTTTCTTTTCTTTTCTTTTCTTTTCTTTTCTTTTCCTTTCTTTTCTTTACGCTCTATGATCAGAAAAGAATTTCAATTATTGAGAAGTTAAACGTACCGTGCAAAAAAATAAAAAGAAAATAAGAAAATATAAAAAAAAAAGGAAAGAAAAAAAGAGGAAAAGGTAAAATAAAAATCATTTAATAGCAATTTAACAAGTAATTTCATGTAATTAAAACAAGTCATTTTAATATCTTAAGATCCACTGGTATCTGATATTATGTATGTTAATTCGAATCTAATGTGGGATAGAGCCGTACATATCTTACACATTAATTCTAAAGTTAATTATTATTAATTATATTATAGGTAAAATAAAAAAAAAAAAAAATAAAATAAAATAAAAAAGAAAAGAAAAAGAAGAAGATGGAAAAAGGAGAAAAGAAAGGAGGAAAAACAAAGAAGAAAACACGGAAAAAATTGAGCAAGGCAAAAGAAGCACGACAAATCGAATAAATAAGAAAAGGCAAACTGTAATAAACGAATGGGATAAATCATGAATTGACGTGGGAAGGAAAGGATAAACAATACGTGTACTTCGTTTGAAGATGAAGTCTGGATTCGAAAAGGGTAAAACTCGGATGAATTATCGGACGGGATAAAAGAGTGCGTAGATGCGAAAGAGAGAAAGAATGAAAGAAAGAAAGAGAGAAAGAGAAAGAAAGAGAGATTGTGTGTCCGAAACGCATTAGTTACACGTACATACATACGTAGGTACATCTGCCCGAAGGTAATAATAACGAGGGAAGGTGCAACACATTCAGTCAGTCAGTCAGGCTGACTTTCTCATAGAAATGCTCGTAAGACTGTTCTTGAATACGTAGAAACTGTATTAGGTATAATTCAGGGTGGAGGGAGGAGCGAGCATGGCTAATGCGCGATCTGGTACAGCAATTAAGCTTCCGTGTTTTCTGCCAAGTAATAAGTGGGCTGCCGTTTCTAGAAGTGAACGCCCTACCTCTCCACATCCTCCCCCTCTTACCCTCACCTTTCTATGTCTTACTAAGAGATATAAAAAAAAAGTGTACCTATATAGAGTTCTAATTAATTAATTAAAAAAAAAGAAGAAAAAAAAAAGGAAAGTTGTGAAACGAAAAAAAGAAAAACATAATAATAATAAAAACAAAAAAAAAAAAGTTTCTAAACGTTAACAGATATATTATATATCGAGAAAAAAATTAAAATAGAATTTATGCTTATGTTTTGGTTAAGCTTTATTCGATTACTCTTCTTCACAGTTCATTTGTTTTTTCTCCTTTTTTTTTTTTTTTCCTTTCAAATTGTAAAATTTCAAGCCTGGGAACTTTTGGCCTAATCCCGTATCTTATTCTTATTTCTATTCTTTTTATTATTATTAATTTGAATATTAGTTATGAGGAATAACAAACGGAGCAGACATTTATGATTATTTTGTTCTATTTTATTATTATTGTTTTTATTATTATTGTATTTTACTCTTAATCATGATATATATATATATATATATATATATATATATATATCATATATGTATATTATTATACATATATGTATATTATAAAGTAAAAAGATCTGGAACGGAAACGCGGCAATTACAATACTATACCCGTTTTTTCTTTATTTTTACTTTTTCTTTTTATTTATTTATTTTTTTTTCTTTTTTTTATCGTTCTTGGCTTTCCGCTTCCTTTGACCGTTTAATTATGATGCATTGTATATGAATCCCATAATCCTAAGTAGTGATTCCTCTGTATTCTAGTTCGTAGAATAAAAAAAAAAAGAAAAAATAATTAATTAAAAGAATCATTTTTTATATTTGAAATTACCATCGAATATATGAAGTATATTTTTTTCTCTAACGATCCAACGTTGTACATTAATAACGTCGATAATAAATAAATAATATATCGAATCGTTTATATTTTTTTTGTATTTAAATATTTACAAACAAAACGAGAGAGTTCTGTTATACTTTTCATTCATTCATTCATTCATTCATTCATTCATTCATTCATTCCTTCTCTCTCCCTCCTTTTCTCTCTCTCTCTCTCTCTCTTTCTGTGTATGTGTATTCGCTCGATCTTTTGTAAGTTCGCAATGTT